ATGCTAACAGAAACGTGCTGTTTTGAGAACAAGTCATGATAGCCAAAAGATTGAGCGGTTGTCTACATATTTGAAAACTAAATTGAATCTAAACAAAAACTTTAAGGTGACAAATAATTACATCTTTTTACAGCAATATTTCGTAGACATTTATTAAGAAACAGAGCTATAAAGTAGTTAAAATGTAAGACGTCAATATCATTGTTATACTATCAGATCAATCTATCAGATCATACTAATCGATTCCATTGTTAGATGCAACCGATGCAATGAACTCTCGTCATCTCGTCGGAGAAACCTCAATACACGTTAAATTGGCTTGTTCGCGCGCATCGTCCGAATTACAATGCCTATTCTGTTTACTGTTTCTATCGCATAAATTCGAATTCAGAGTACCTAAACCATTGAAATGTATTCTATTACCCCGAGCGTTAGAATTTTTATGATTCGATAGTCGTATTAAAGCTAAAATGTTGGTCTCTATTTGTGTCGATTTATTAGGAGAATTTTATACAACTATTATATATGAGACGCTCTTTGTATCCGAAGAGCCAGAGGGATAATAATTATTAACGTATGTCATTTCAATTCATAGCGTATACAACTTGTTTTCACTACTATGAATCATGTTTGATATCATTACTTCTAAGTAACTCTGATACATCACAAGCATGAGCTATAAGCTAGACTGTTACGCGACTAAATAATATTTAAAGATTTGCAAGACCTAAAGTAACAAATAAGGTTACTTTATCGTAAAACGGGTAATCGGAATATGAGAGTTAAAAAATCACAAGAAATAAAATCAGCTGATCAAATATTACGGTCTCGGTTAACGCCAAGAAGTTTCGTTTCACTTGTATACGCATACATTATGCTACATCATTAAACAACTTATCTCTTAACGTTAGGAGAAGCATCAATCATGTTAAAGATCTATCTCGATGCGAAATTACTGTTACACAGACGCTTTGAAGATAAGACCAGCCCGTGATTTTTTAAATGTCTTCATTACAGTTTTTAGGTATTCATGCTATTTGTTATAAATTAAAACATCTTCTATTTAAAATTTTCTTTTCACAGTGTTAGTAACCATACTCCTCCGAAACGGCTATACCGATTTCTATGAAATTTTATATGAATATTCAGTAAGTCTAAGCAACGACTACTGTCTATGTTTTAATCCCGTCCAGACGAAGTCGGGGGCGACACCTAGTTGTTTATAAAATAGCCATATTATAATTAATTTGTTATTTATAAGCTATTTTCCATAATTAGAAGATAAGAGTAATTAACATTTTTTTCTCGTCGAGAAAATGACTACTAACTGGGAAATGTTTGCAACATCTCAATGCTAAGTTATTCACATACTACTTCGGAACATATTCTTTAAAAGTGAAGAGAAAAACGACGATGAAAATAGCGACTTAGCTTTAGCACCGAACGCTGTATAATCTTTTTCTACAACCTATGCAATATCTGTTACCGAATTATACGAATATCAGATAAAACGCAAGTTACATAAAATTTACTGCTTGCTCTATATTATAAAATTTATATTTGACGAACAACAGATAAATTGGTCAATTCCACATTTAGCTGATAAGTAAAATAACGATTTGACGTTTTAAAGTGGTCGTATAATAATAACCGGTCGAGTTTTAAATATGCCGTTTAAAAGCAAACCGATGTACTTGGAGTTGTATTGTGCCCGCATATGACTGTGACCCGTGACCGGCAATGCGCACCGGTTATTTTTAACCTATTAGTACGACTAATCGTAGTCGATGATAGCAACGTCTAGTACTAAAAATATACATGACGTCGAAAAAAATACCGTTTCACGTTTCAATTTTAACCATAATTAGGTCAATTACATTAGCGACCTGTCGATTTAGATTCCTAAAAATTAACGTCTCGTACTCGGATAGACCGACAATTAGTGCAACAATGGGAAATGTTAAGTTTTGGTTCACAATCAGGATAGTAATAAAATGTTATTTTCAACGTCGAATTTAAACGCAGCGTTAAAAAACGCCCGTGTAAATGATGGCTAAGAATTCAATTTCATCCAATAGTTAACGTTTCAAGTGTAAATCGAGCAATTTAATAACGAACTTACTAAAAATGTAATATTGCGAAAGTTTTGACGGATGAATGAATTGCAGTTTGATTTTTATATTACATCAAGACGGCTACTCGGATCTAAATTCAATTTGGAACACAGATCGTTAGCAGTTTGGCATGGCGAACAGGATACTTAGATTTTTAAAGCATTGCAAGTTGAATATAATAATTGTATTTTAAATATATCAGGTTATTGTTTACTACATATATGTTGAATAGACAGACGTTAATGCATTTGCGTGCTGGTGCATTCTACTGTTACTATACAGTTAACAATAACAGTCCATACAGTAGGGATGAGGCTATTTATACGTCATTACTGTTTGCCTTTATCATTGTCAACGCTCAATTATTTAATAGGTGAAATCATAAAAGCATCGTCTATGTAATAATCGCACAAAAGTCTTTTATCACACCATTGCAATTTACCGTTCTCCAATAACGTTATAGAACCAATAATGTAAACGTAATTGAATGTGGTATTTATTCCGTAACTTATTCAATACCTTAAGTCGTTAATATAATACATTGAGTCACGAAAACCACGGTATTATGCCATTATATCTCGTAAGATTTGATCACTTTAACTAAGGGCTAAGAAATGATCTTTACCAGATAGATTGGACGTTTGTTATTGGTTCGCAGCCTAAGTATGGGATTATTGAGAGGTCGATAATAGTTATCTTTCGTTATCTTTTGGTTTTTACAACACTGTTATTCTTTGCTTTTGATTGTTTATATTCAAAGGGATACGGCCAACTGCTAGCTTGCTTGTATCTAAAATCCTATAAGCTATCACAAATTGCGTTTTGGAAGATAACAAACCGAGTAGTTCATGTTAGAAATTGTATCCGATTGGAATTCCTGTACTTAGCTCACGACACATTCCCTACAAACCAATTTGTTCTGTTATTAAGCCGTAGTGCAGTCAAGGCAATATTAACCCTACACATTCAATTGATTGTGCAACTATTTACTTTACGATGCATAAAGCAGAACAGAGTTAAATTAATCGAATAAATCATACTAATATTGTGAATGCAAAAGTTTGATAGATGGGTGGGTGGGCTTTTACTTATCTCCAAAACGGCTAAACGGATCTCTGTGAAATTTGTCATAAATGTAGTTCATAGTCTAGAAGAACGCATAGGCTACTTACTATTTTTTTTTAATCCACGACGACGATTTCAAGAGCAAAAGTTCGTATAAAGTATTTGAGAATAAATTCAACCACGTCTCTTTAAACTCTTCCCATATAAATAATCCTATTTACACATCGTACATACACGAGATAGAATAAAAATGTATCCACTGAATTTAAGACTTTTATCCATTTAACTTAAGGATCATGTTTAAAAAGCTAATACCGGCGAAAGAACTATATCTAGCAAATTTATTCGCCTGAGTTTGACGCAAGCTCGATTCAATTAAATACAATAAAGAAATTAATAGAGAAACATCTGATATAAATGTTCCATTTATTTACAAACTAGAAAGCATTTACAAAGAAAATAAAACACTAAAGTTAAAAGAATTTTCAGTCATTCAAGTGTGAAATTTCCCGTCCGTTCTTTATAAAGTTTTATTGCCTCGTCCTTTGAAAGGTTTTCCGTGCTGTGGTGTGAACGCTCTAACGCCGTCAATTTTGACTTACTGTTTATTTTTGATAGATATTTTATTCAGATACAAATACAAATATAAAATTTGATCATTTATATAAATTTATGTAACGCGGTATAATCTTAAAGAAGAATAAACAAAAATCTATCGAATTAGAAGCTCAAAACAACAAGGTTTAACGCGCCGTTTAAAATTACCATAAAAGGAAATATTCTCTAGCACGCATCGGTACCGTTACAGCTGCAAAACATTGCTCTACCTAGCTTAGAAGAAAAATTAAACTTGCATCAAATTTTCGGTAGTTGCTTAAATAGTCTGTATTGCTATCGAAATAAAGTTGTAATAAACAAGACGACTATCAGTGTGTATGGGAGGGAGCTGAATAATGTGATGGACTTATTTAGAGCAACAATTGTATAATACGGGAGTTCGATCACCTATCGAAGGTAATGTGGTGAATAAACTTTTTGAAATTTAAATATTTTCCATACATTTTACTTCTCTTCACACGATATATATATATATATATATATATATATATAGAGTACGGTAGACTTTTGCTTTGAAAACTTTAAAAATTCTTACGAACTATGGGATTTAGTTTTATTCTTTGATGTTAAAATTAACAACTTATACGATTATGACCTTCATATATATTGGTAAAATTGCGTAGTAATGGCGTAACGATTCCGTTTCATCGTACACAAGCTAGACGGTATTGAAAGAACGAAGCGAATCGATACATACAGTGGTTCCGAATTCTCTGTACAACTGACGTTTTCTTTTTATAGATGTTGTAATCTCGCAACAGACTGGGAGCGCCACCGCAACGGCTGCGGCGTCTTGCACATCAAGTTAAATATTTTTAAATACATCTAGACACGCAACGTGGATTGCACGAGCGGTTATTAAAATGCTGATGATTTACTTTATTGTTTATGCTTCGTAAATGCGATACAATGTACGAAAATCTATGATCTCATCTTTATTATTTGATAAACTGTATCTAAATTTATGAAAATATAGACGATTTTTACGTTGGTAAAGTGTTTCGAAGACGCCAGAGAGTGTTTCGATCCTAAAGAATATGGTAAATTTTTGCTTGCACTATAATTTGCAACGCGTGCCGGATTAGGTTACTGTTAGAATATACTTCAGTGTGATGACAAGTGGAGAATTTGTGAATAAAATGTAATGAGTAGTATGTCTGTGTGTATAGTGGCAATTACCAATCGCTTAGCTATTTAAGATACCTGAATGGTATCGCTTCTCATTGTGAGTGACGCGGCGATGAGTGCGTCGGTTTCTGGTGAGCTGTCGACTGCCGCCGCCGTCTCCGCGCGGTCCGCGCACTGCCTGAATGCCTGCTGCACAACATACCGCCATATATGCCCACCAGTTTAGACAAAACCCAAAACTTCTATATCGCTAACAAAATATAAAGGCTGAACTAAACTTTTATCGTATACACATGGGTCAAATGTCTGCCAATAAAACAAAAAAAAGAAAAACACGGTAAGAAATAATTTAAAAATTCAATTTAATACCATTTTTTTATAAGAATATATAAAAAATATATATAAGTAAATGCAAGTGTAAAAGTTGTGTAGAGATTTGAGTTTACCGTTTAAACCCTGCTTTCGCCTGTGGTTACGCAGTGCGTAGTTATCAGACTAGTTCATTGACCTTTGCCGTTGATAAGGGCCGAGGTGAGGACGCTATCAGTGGCGCAATGCAGGCCCAAAAACGTTCGACCTGAAACTACGCCCTAGAGGTAAACCAATTCGTGACAAATACTTTTATAATATTTACTTGTGGGTCTTAAATTCAATTATTTAATATAAACTTCATCATGAAACATTAGCTTTATTTTACTATTTTAGTTATTTATTTACAATAATCAATAACATATATACATTGACCTAATTGACATATCTAAAAGCTTACTTACATTGTTAAACGTTATATTTTATGGATTACAAGAGTATTTAAGAGTTCCTCTTTATACAATGTGTAAAAACTGTGATAATATTTTTAAACGTCTGATGTGCTCTTAATATGTATATATACTGTGTAGACGTTCTGTTTGTTGGTATAAAAATATAGCATGCGTATTGTTCCGAAACAATGGGTAAGGCTAAATTAATATTGCGGATAGGGTGATAAGAGACAGCGGAATATTTAGAGAGTTCCAAAAGAAATGATGGCCTTGAATAATACGATTTGGACATTAAGTATAGGATCTTTACAAATAAAAAGATATATTCGCATAAAATTTCGCGTAAATTGTAAACTGAACCCGTTTATTGCAATCCGCTCCGCTTATCTAGAAAAAGCCAGGGGCAAAGAGAACCGCCCGATACTAACCGATGCACATCACTTACGACTGCGTCCGTTCGGCCACTTCTGTTACCGCGAAGTGATTTAACTGCCGATTAACTTATCAAGTAAATTCTACTAAAATATACGTAGAAAAGTTTGTATTCTTTGGTTTATTCTTATTTTATTGATTATTGAATCTTGTTCTCATGTCAGACGTGACTTACTTGACTACTAAAACAATAATTGCAAATTAAAGAACATTTGAAGCTTACTTTGCATGATTTAACATAGATCTGTTATGAGTTTTATAATGACAAGCGGCTCGCAATGGATCATGCACTTGTTACGAAGGATGATTGAAATAAAATGCCATACTTTTTTACGCATTGACCTAAAGATTTCTTTTACTTTATGAAACCTCATCACGTTTCACCTCGGGCCAAGTATTTTATTATAGGAACAACTTAAGTACAGCTGCACCGTAAGCAAAAAAGCTGTTTCGCTCTGATAGTGCCATGTAACTAGTGAAACATTACGTGCCAATGCGACAGTATCGTACCATGATGATAAAGTGTGGTTGACGTGCGTGTGGATCACCAACTAACTAAACCAAGATACACAATTATGTAGTAACTAGAAATCATAAAATAAAACATAAATACGAATGGACCAAAAATAAAATCACAGTCGACGGGCGCTGGACAAAGTCATTCTAAATTGTTTAGATTAAATCGCAAGTTTTTTACGCGTTCAAATGAAGGCCGACCTCATTATTTTAATAACCCTCGTCAGCGGACCTGAAACGTTAGCTGAGATTGTATTTTTTAAACTAACTTTTTTTAACTTGCACCTTATTATTGATAGCATAAAAATGTTATTACCACAAGACGCAGAAATAAATCATTTAATAATGTACCTAAACTATTGAGCTAACGTTCCAAATTCGTCTATTCGAAGTCCAGATTCAAGATGGCCCCTCCGCTTGACCCTTGTTGTGGGACGGAGGCGAATGGTGCCACTGCGCATGATAATTTCGCGACTGCCCAGCGTCCATCGACGGCGATCAATTGACACTTGACCCCGTCGACGCTTCCATTGCGTCCTTGGACTCACAAGTACTGGGAGGATCACACAAATTGGCATGTGACGTAATCAATTAAGTTGGAAAAATTACAGCGGGATTGAAAAGCCAGTACTCGCGTGTCATGAAGTTACTATTAAGTAATAATTAGTTGAGGCAACATAAAGTTAGTAGCAATTGCTTGTACATACTACTCGTGAGCAAGAAGACTTACCTTGGGGCTGTTGTTGAGCGATATAGGGGGTAAGAAGACGGGCGCGCTTCTTTTCATAGCCTTTCTGTGTTATATCACCTGGGAAGTAAGGAGACCATTGGTGAATACATTTTGCATAGTAATAAAACAAACCATATTTAAGCAATTCGAGTTTGTAAGTTCGGTTAAGGTATTTTTGACGTTCGCATATAATATATGAATTATAATTAAGATAGTATGTCAAGCACTCAGCCTGTAAGATAACAGATATCCATTTGGGAGTTGATAAAGCCGACGAAAATAGGATAACTTTGCTCACTTAATATTTTGGTTGATAAACATCGCTAGAATTCAATATTAAAGGAGCTGAATTTCAATAAAAAGCTGTTTCACAAGACACTTGAATTGCGACTTTCATTTTAATACTTCTTTCGAGTGTTGTGAAGCAGGCTAATTTTGCCAACGTCAACGGTTATTACGAAGCGCCCTTTGAGTTGCAGTAGTAGCAACACAAGCAAATAGTCGTTTGTAACGTACTTTCTCATTTAAATATTGCAACGGACTAAATGAGAAAGTACCTGAAAGACATGAAAGGATATTTTACTAAATAAGTGATATACACGATAATATTCATCTGGCTACAAATTATTTTTTATAAAAATAAGATTTAGTACATATTTAATGATAAACTAAAATGCCTTACGTAGTAACGTGACGCCTTTAACTATTTAAGAAAACAACTGTCAAATTACTCTCATACCCCATTTTTATATTAATTGTTACCTCTCCTACCTCGTGATTGGCCACAAGACCGGTCCCTATCTCAGCCCGATGTCGTCATATGCGTAATCCGAATAATGAGTCACAGAGTGTAACGTACACAGTAGTGCATGGAAAAGAATTAGACTATAATTTACATAACAATTCATACAAAAAAAACATAGAACGTGTTACACTAAAAATATAACAAGTCATAATTAATTCACACTAGCATTCGCGTCGGGTCCGTGATGACCTTGTAAATAACTATGTATTATAACGCGTCGAGAGAAACATGTTCAATAAAAACGTACAACAAAAAAAAATACTTTAACTCTTCTAACAAGTTTACTGGGTAAAATAAAAACGCAATGACCGAGTTTGACGATCAGGGATAAGGTGAGTATACAAAGACGATCATTTCAGTTAAAAAACAGAGATTTGTACAGAGGTGTGTTAAGAGGTTATTTACTATTCGAAGCAGGTTATATTTACAACATTTATACATTTTACGGAAAAGAAAGGACAAGGAGGATATTAAACTTAATAATTTACAATATTCTAACACTGTTACATAAACAAAATACATCGATGATAAACAACGAGTTGCATAAACTGGCAGATATCACTCGGGACTGTCGTGGGGCGTTCTCAATCAGACTGATAGTTATAAACGCACATGGCTCTACAAATATGATATCTCTAAAAGCCCTATTATGTTAATACTGATGACGAAATCTATAAGATGAATAATGTTAAAAATATTTTTTAATGCAAAATGCATTTTGAATGTTTTACTGAAAACTGTTACTTGCTTGCCCACAAGGGTACTGACTTGTCACACCATAACATTTCTTACTTAATTGGCAGGTGCATGACAGTGAAACGGTTCTTACAAGCGGACAATCAACGCATGTAATGCAATACAGAGTCGCAGCAGTCCAAATAGGTACGGCATTGTTCGAGGACGTTTGACCTGAATTTTAAAACTAACTTCCGATTTTATAGCTCTATTATATGCAGCCACAAGCTGACCGCCCAACGTGATAGCTTTATTTTAATGTGTTCGATGGCTCCCGGGAACATAGATCTTAAGTCAAAACACGCATGATCTTGAATCATTCGTAATAACCGTACATCTATCCTTAATCCTTTGTGGCGTAGAAATTTAATTACACTCCGTAATTATACTCTTGTCCAACATACATCACTCAGGCATTGCTACGAATTTTCTACCGTATTTATATAGAAACAAGCTATCGCCCACGTTTCCGTCCGCACGAAATGAAAAAAAAAACTTAATTAGTAGCGTATTTGTTCTTCCAGACTACGTTCTATATCTATGCCAAATTTATTTATTTATTTAGCGAGATCTATGCAGCCGTTCTAGAGATACCTTCAAACAAACATCCATCCATCCATTCATACCGCCAAACGTTCGCATTTATAATATTAGTAAGATTATTTTACAACGAATAAATAGGACATTTTACATATCTTCGTGGTGACTTAAGTAATACAAAAAGTATTGTATATAGATAAAGAAGAGTGATAAGATTACATTTATTACACAGAAAGTGATGACACTTACATTCATATTTGTTTTGTAATATTAAAACTCAAATTTTGCATTGCATTTAAATAGCATAGACCACATACGAAATTGATCCAGCAAAAGTTCTGAAACTTGATGGAAAGGTTTCGAAACATTTTTTTGAATAATACAATTACAATTCATCGCCCAAATTACATTGGCGTGACTAATTGTGATTATTTATTTTAAAATATAAGAAAAAAGTTGACTAAATACTATTATTATGTTCAACGCTTAGCTCAGAAAGACGTCAACAGATAAGATAATAATTTCTATTAGGAAAAAAACGCTCCCAATAAACAATACTTTAGGTATAAAGGTAATCATCAAATTAATATTTTAAATTATTTTTTCGATACAAAGATATTTTAAAAGGAAATATTTAATTATACAGATAATGTGGAAGATTATTCATTTCTGCAAAACTTGGATCGATTCATGAAAACCGATGAACATACAGAAAATACATTACTATTTAGATTTGGAAATTCTATTTCAAATGTTTGTAATTCTTTGATCATATTAATTTTCCACTTTTTGAACAGATATGGTATTATTTGTACCAAATCATGCGCACGAATGCATATCGAATAGAGCATAGTCTTCTCAATTTCAAACACAAGCGTCACACCAAAAATTCAAACAAAGTCACACCTTGTGTGCCTTTTAATATTTGTTACACATTATATTTAAATTATACAGCTGAACAATCAGATAACAGCGTAACAGCTGTTCTAGAACCTACCGTACATCAAAGGCCTCTCGAACAAAGCTTTCAAACATGCATAAAGGAAAATCAAATTGTTTGAAAGCGCAAATCAATGCTGTCAACTAACTATACGTCCCTTTGTTATTCAAATAGAAAATAAAAATACTGTCGTCGACGTTAAAACAAAGATTGAAACTACATCATTTTCGTAACATTATTTTCTTACATTAACTTATATCAATTTTAATATGATCGTTATTTACAATGTAAGATAATTTTCAAAATATTCATTGTTTCTTAACTTAGAAAATCTATGTATCTCCGTTATGTACACTTGGAAATGTTGTAATGTAAGGAATGACAGGGCCCACTATATCGTATTTAAGAACTACCATTAAATTAATATTTTCTATTAATTAATTAATAATTAACAGATTCTCTTAGTAATCTTAATTACATTATTTGACAATCTTGTGATTATTTAGTCTTTTCACGTTATTTACGTTTACTAAACTCAATGCAGATTTCTTAACTCATTCACTTTAAGAAATGTGATACATTAACAATGACTTTATTTAAAATCAATTAAGCTAATTCAAAGTATGTCTTTGATCGTTTGGATTTACTTTTCGATAATACTAACTTTTCAGTGTACATATTAAAAAAATTGAATCTTTGTAGGTAGCATAAAAGAGAAATATGGTCAAAAATTGTAGCAAATACTGGAATGAAACATGAACGCCAGCGAAACTGAGAAGTATTAACGGTTTCATGCATTACAATCGCACGGCACAAACGCACTATAGTAGACTGCACAGGTAGAAAAAACGATTAAAAGTTCCACGTTCTAGGTTCAAAGGGATTATAGCAGAGCTCTTTTCTCCCGGCATCTGCAAATTGAATCTCGCTATCGCATAGCAACTGAGTAATGAAACTTTCGGATGTGCTACACAGGCTTCAAAAGAATGGAAATTTTTTATTCGTATATTTCAGATGTATGGAAAGTTTTGTAATAATGCACTCAGTTCATATTTGAGACTTGCATGCCTAGTTAAAGGTATCAAGAACTGGGCGGAGTTTAATACCGCGGTAAGTAATTCGAACTACGCTAATCCTGTTGGCTGTTTAACTTCACTTTACAGGGTGCTGGTTTAACTTTGCGAAATTGAAAATTCGAAGTAGTTTCAAGGCAAGGTTTGCGATGCGAATAATTATTGTTTAAAATAGTATCAAACATGTTAGTTGCGAAACTAGAGTGACAACATTGATTCGGCCCTGCTACACGCATAAATTATACCGTTAATTACAAATTTGCAGATTCGGCTTATATTGTTCATATTTTATTTCTCACAATGTAAGTGCATCTAGTAGGTTCGTTGAAACTACTAACTAAGGACGGCCTTCTGATGATAGTGTTTATTTAATGAAAAGGCTCTTTAAAAAATGAAAAACTGTTTTCACTCGCAGTATAGCGACAGCGAAAGCGGATGTCACCCGACCTCGTGAACATTCGCAGAGCTTCCCTTTATGCGATTGTTTTACGTACTCCGTGGATATGGGTATGGTCAATATACCAGCGAGCGACGTGCTCACTCCAGGAACAAAGCGGTGCCACGAACGACGGGGAGTGGGGGAAGACTGCACATGGATGACGACAATCCAAACGAACCTGAGAGCCTTAAGACTTGAAAGTGGAAAACGCGTGCATTTGCGATTATGTTATGTTTGTACCGTTATATTTAAATAAAAAAACTAGTTATTCTCAAATCATACTAAAAGTATTACCACAATTTATAAATTTATAAGTAGAAGTAAAGTTAAATTTTACAGTGTTTTATCATGACACCTTATGATATTTGGGATAAACAAAATATTTGTAATATGGAAATTAACAGATGCTGTATATTAAAGGACTCAATTAATATTTTTAGAGCCACAATTGAGGCCATTGATTCTACAGCGACGGGCTTAGTCAGACTGTGCCACGACGACGAACGGGTTTGTGTTGATGCGTCATGCTTTCCCAATAAAATGGCTTAAGTGCGCTGGTAAAATGATGCGACTTGTAAATCTATCTACCTGATATAAGAAGTTGTGTATTACACTTAAGTCATATTAAAAATAAAAACAAATTTAAATATTAAATTGAACTTTACAGTCTTACATTATCTCGCCATTTAGCGGAATATGAATGAAATACAGTTGAACCTGGATAAGCGGGAGTCCAAGGGACCGCGATGTTTTTATAACTTAGAGTTTTCTCTCTAACCAGAGTTTCTCGCTTATGGATATGATGGTCTTTCAGGACCAGACAATGACACTCGCTTATTGAGGTTTCTCGTTACTCCATCTTCGACTGTATATTATATTGGCAATATATCGTTGTCAAGTTATCAAAGTTTGTTCGCTGGGTAATATTTGTGTTAATATGTGAAAAAATACTCATAGTTGCGGGGGAATAGTATATCTCAATTTTTTTATTACCTGAATATCAGATATTATGTCTGATTTACTAGGTTTTTCCTTTAAATAATTTTAGTTCGTTATCTTGGCTAAAGCTACAGCTATTTCATAAGTTATGCAGAATTACTATGTACTTCAAAACCTTTTCGGGACAAAAGGCCAGGTTCCCGCCAAAAAATTGGTTTATTTTAGCGCATTTGTACATTAGAGTTATTAAGTTCGCGTAAATTAAATTAAAGAAAGCTAAAGTTTGCGTAAAAATTACTGTTCGTGCTTAGGTGAGCATCATAAAGGTAGTTAATTTTATAATGAATTAATAACAATCTATATACATATGTAACAGCGTAAACTGACTAACTCAACTATTAACGCACAGCCTAAAAATTCTAGGTCTAGAGACTGGAAAGTTTGCTTAGGGGCTTCTATTAATACCTGCTGTAAAAGGCTTTGAGGGAATACTGCCAGATACATGCGGTCAGCAGTTTGAACCGTGATCCACGTACGGCGATTGTGAACTTGCTGATAGCGAATGCAGTGCCAATTGCATAAAAATATTACATACAGACACTATGTCTGTTTTATTCATAAGAATATAAGGGATTACAAAATGTGTCAATAAAAATGACACAACAGTGGATTTTTGGGGTATTTTGTACCTGTAGGTACAGACTTTTTGAACAACGTGTATGGCGGCCGTAAAATGTATAAGTCCTAGAGTCCTAAGTATTTAGTAAGTGCAACATTGACGTTAGGAACATGTTTTATGATGAACATGAGTACAGACGAATTTTGTGTGTAAAACTTATTTATATTGTTATCAAGACAATATGAAGAATGCGGAAAATATCTTTTAAAATGGTGAGGGGGTTTGAATTGCTTAAGTCTTTCTTCGCATCTGCCAAATAATTTTGATAACGGAATAAACTAAATGTAGTCGCTAATTTCGCAGTGCATGCAATGCTATATTAACAAATCAAACAAATAAGTAATTAATAATAAGAATTTTTATTTAATTTTTGAGTAAATTTCCATAGCATTTGTTAGTCAAATTAGTGACATTGAAAATGTATTTTGTATAGATGCATTAAAAAGATTTGAAGATAAGATATTTGCAATGTATATTTTAAAATAAAGAATTTTGTTATTATTATTATTTAATAAATTATTCTGAATATGAAACCTGATTATTTCCCAAACATCAAATTAATGCTAAATATCTCAATACACATCCAAATTAAAAAATGGACTGAAATTGAAGTTTAACTTTCTATATGAATTTGAATGATGGTTCTATTGTTAAACTTAAGTGCCAAGAGAATATTGGATAAGCTTAGTTGATAAAATTTAACTAAGAGACATACACTTTACTTTTGAACGCAGAAAGTACAAAAGTATAGCAGTCTGCATAATATTCGAAATTACTTAATTAAATAATAATATAAATTAATACTACTTCTACTGGTACAATTATACACAATTTTTAATTTGTTTAACAAAGCAATACAATGTTAATAAGTACTAAAATAACTATTGAATACTTATTAATTAAATAGTAAGCATGTTCAAGCTAAGATTTAAAAGCACTTAAGATTTTTGTTAGATTGCAAACATTTCTACTACTACTGTATATATATATATATGTATACATATATAAATGACATAATTATAATACATCTATATACATATATCAATAATGATACATATTATGTTCATATAAGTATACTCGCAAGTACAACTTTTGGAACTTAATAAAGTAACTAAAAATAAAAAAAAATAAAAAAAATATCGATCTCTAATACGACTTGCACCACTTGCCCTACCTTCAGATAACTCCAAGTCCAACTCAGCTAGTTTATCTCTTATCTCGTCCGGCAACTTGGATATATCTACACTTAAGTCAGCCATTATGAAAAAACACTATTTTCACACAAAACAAATAAACTTAACGACAACAGTCCAAGACACCATCGTGACACATAGCCATCTTGAATTTTCAACTCTTTCTGACCGACTCTACTCGAACACTGAACTAACAATGTCTCATTTAATCACCAGAGGACGCAATGTTGCTTCACTAGCTTGTTCTCAATTACAAAATGGAATTTGACAGTAATTTTTTTCGAAAACATTTTCATAAACTTCAACAAAAAGAGAAATTAAAATCTTTTAAAAACAAAATATAATTAATTATCACCTTAAGCAAGTGCTTTTGTGTTTAATATTTTCAGTTGTTTTGTCTATGGTTCCGTTTATAAACCTCTATATGTCACACGGACCACATGTGGCAACACACAATAGGGGAGATTGGACTGATACAGACCACGGTATAGTTGTGAACCGTAAGATTGACTAAGGCATAATCCCTAACTTAGGGCCTTAGGATAAGCTCCTTGTTCCTCAGTAGGAAAGATTCATGACAATGATAATGAACGCGCGTGCTTGACCGGTTTTGTCACTTAAAATCAAAGGTTCCACTGAATTAATTAATTCAGTGTTACTACCCTAACTGGTGGTAAATTCACCTTTCCTTTCGTCACTTTTGGTGTGGGTGGTTTGCGTAAAAACATTTGGCGTAAAACTTATATTAGTTTAAATACCACTCAATGTATCAATATATTTCAGGACATAAGAGATGATGCTAAGCTGTGGATTCTTACAAGGATTGATGAATTAAGATGGGATTTAACATGGAAGAAACATGTAAACGTTTAACGAACTACTATAAAGTTTATTGTTATTTATCAGTCAAAATATGATAGTTTCCGTTTATGTTTTTACCCATGGGCACACTTAGGTTTAATGTTGTAAAATAATAATTTCAAAGTGAGAAATGATTCAAGAATGAGCTTAAATGCGAAGTTGTTTAGAAAAAAAAAGATTCTAAAGTTAATACAGGTAACCCGATCTATACTAATTTGTCGATTTCGATAAATCGACAATAAGCTCCCTTCACTATTGAGCTCGCTAGGTTGGTATTCATATTTTTTGTTGTGCGTCATAAAATTGAAATAAAATATTTATATTCTGGCAACTATTTACCGTGCAAACAGACAAATTTTAAATTGTTCTAAGTCCCGACTCTTGCTACGAAGTAGTTACATACTCTTTGTTATTCTCGTAATGGCTGCCACGCTCGAACCGTAGTGTATTGAGTGTCAAGTGCTTTTCTGCTGAAAACATGGATACACGATCGTCATCAGCTCTATTTAAAAGAGCCGAACAATTAAAAAGGTGGCAGGAATCGGACACAAACAAACAGTCCCCTAATCCCAGACACGCTGCTAAGATACAATTTACCACTGGCACCGTATTTCTAGCAGCGTGTAAAGCTGGAGATAAGGAAGAAATTCTAAGACTGTTGAACAAGGGCGCTGACATCAATACTCCAAATGTAGACGGCCTTACGGCCTTGCATCAAGTAAGTACCATTACTACTACTTTTTTATGGTAGAAATAGCAAATAAACATGTATGTCATATTACTGTAATGTAACATATGCTGCAAGAGATTATGAGGGCTACAGGTTTATCACTAACCTTTGCATTGTAATAACTGATTATATTAGAAAATATATAGAAAGTGGACTATCTCTGTAGGACTCCACTTTGAAGGTAGATTTGAAGCATGCATAAGTGAAGATTTCTAGACAGTATTTCAGACTTGTATATCCATGTAGAGCAGAAATATTCATGCCTTAGAAGTTAGGGTTGTAGATTTTAAACAGCTAAATAATATTCTATGTTAGATGTGCATCAAAACTTTGTGGAAAAAAATATCTTGTTAATTAGGTCCAAAAAAATAATTTCATGTTGCAATTTTTAATTTATCATTTCATTAATAACAATACTATTTGTTAGGCAATTATTTTGTATTTCTATTCTTAAACATTTTTAATTTCAAACAATCATTACTGCTTTATTAAAAACATCTACTTACTGTATCTATATATATAGTTCTGATTATTTATGTAATGTCTTTGTTGGATACCTTCAAAAACTGATTTTAATTTACATAAATTCTGATCACCGTCATAAAGTTTTTACATTGTATATGAGTGTACAAAAATTTTGTGCACTTCCTAAATTTTAATTTATGTTTACTTTTGCATTTACTAAGAATGGTTAAGTCTGAAGCAAATTGATTGAATTTATTAAGAAACAACATAGATAATTTTAAATGGTTTGACAGTCAGTTATTGGGCTTGGCCATAAATAATTTTGTTGTTGGGTACTTTAAAAAATGACTTACATATTAACACTTGCTTGTTACATCTAGGGTCAAGCAATGACAATGAATTAACAAAACTCAGAAATAATTTTAAAAAACACATCTATCCATAGGTTTTTACTAACCTGCGCTGATTTTAAGTACTTCAGTGTACTCATCTAATATTATGGTGGTGTTGACCCAGTGTGAAAAGTTGAATAAATGGATAAAATTGCGACAGGTCACTGGACTTGAGATCCAAGAATACCAGGAAAGCTTAAGGGTCAGATCTACATTGTAAGATCTGTTGTATTATTGATCTGAATGTTGTGCATCCAAGGTCTCGGATGAAAGATGATTGCATGTAGCTGAAATGCGTATGCTAAGATTTATGTGTAGTGTGTCAAGAAAGGATAAAGTTAAGAATGTGTTTTTTAGACAAAGTTTAAAGTAGCGCCACTGGTCAAGAAAGTGAGGAGCGAAAGGTTAGCATGTTTTGGACATGTTATAGATAAGGATGATGATCATTTAAAGTAAAAAGTAAGGAGATTGAATGTGGATGGCTACAAAGATGGTGGAAGACCATAGAAAGTATAGTCGGAATGTATGAAAAAGACAAAATGCATAAAAAGGGGGTAGATTTAGATATGATGACTGATAGAGATGTATGGAGGAGTAGTACATACCATGCCAACCTTTCATAAGGATGAAGGCAGGTTGATGATTGATGAGTTTTTTACTAAAAAAATCTAGCACAACAAGCCTGACAAACAATTTTAAGGCCGTTGGGACATTGCAAAGCATTCTGAGTCCAAGTATTGATATTTTTAATTTTTTCGTGGTACAAGCTCATCTGGTTCTGTAATGTTTTGTATATTTTCTGTATATACTAATGTTACCTTAACTGAATATTTTGTGGCAAAATCGTTTGCCAAATTAAAATTATATAAGAGAATAAAAATGTTGGTATTTAAGTAGTTTATTATATAAATGCGAAAGTATATAAAACGCGTTAATGGATTTGGATAAACTATGGCATTGATCATAAAATATAGATAGTCTGGAATAGGGCATAGGCTACTTTTTATCCCGGCAAAATTACGGTTTCCACGAAATAGTTTTTTTTCATGTACCTATTTTTAACTCTGCATAAATGTCGTATAACATGATCTTGAATATCGCATAGGTTTCTTGTTATCTTAAAATTATATGCGTAATAAATATGGTAGGAAATAAATGTTTCGTTGATTTTTGTTTCACTTTACGCTGAAGTAACAGGCAAAGTAATCCGTCATATTTATGCCGCCATTGAATTCTTGGGTTGCGCAATTGTAATTTGGTTGCATGGGAGTTTCGCCAGTTCGGTCACTAGTACAGAATTAGAACCTGACTGTCTACGTCTACGGCGCTATCCGAAACGGAAACTAACCATCTCAGAGTCGGTTACATTCCATACATTTGTATACATTTCCAGCTGATTTTGCGATAAATCGTTTTAAAGTTTGCAATAGCAATAGAAAAATCTGATTTGTGGGCCACTGATATATTTGTATAGTTACTACTTTCTATGATAAGTAATTAAATTAAAATTAAGGATCTGTTAGTGAGTTTCGCCGTAAATATGCCGCGTGTGATCTATCGATTGTCTAGATGGCTGAGGTGTACTGGATTAGTAACGCTGTTTATCTATGACGATATTTAATAAAAATGTAAGTTTCCAATAATAATTACAAAAACATAATGGTATACTTCAGGTTATTTTAATCTTGTTATAGCTTTTAAAACACAATTGTCATTCTTAAACTAGACTTAAATACTTGAACGTTAAATGGATACACTGCTCGGGAGACGTAATCCCTAGAAATCTCAATGTTACCGCCCGCAGGAAATATTAATGAGACACAATAAAGATAATTAATATGACTCGACCGTTATCTTTGGATGGCCTATAGTACCGATATAACACACATTACTTACGAGTATATCAAATTCGTGAAGTAAAAAGTTTTCGTTTTAAATAATGTCACGAGCAATAAGGGGGGTATCTTTTAATTGGGAGATATATGTAGAACATCGATACTAATAGTTTAATATTCGCGTATGTCAACATTTGCTTTATACATTGAACTTGATACACTACATCGACGCTTTGTATTATATTCTCATGCATACAGGAAAGAATTGAATACTCCATTGCCTAAGATAATATTGACATTACACACTCTCGGTTCCATAAACACGATTGTATAGCTTTTAAACGGTCGCTTTGTTGTTTCTATGTACTAAGTACTGAGCTTTATTGCTTAGTTTGAAATCTACACAATGCACAATCAATTGGTGAAATAATCTAGAAAAATATAGTCTTGTATATACACTTTACTATCTATATAGTTTTCGGTGGAATGTTTTGGTTTTAATAAGTTTTTAATTGTCCTGCAAATTTAGGTTATCTCGATAATGAGTCAATGAAACGTATGCCAGGCCTTGTCAATAAACTATCAATTTACATCGTGAGAATTTGAAACTTAACCTTAGAAATAACGTTGGGGACGTTAATCGCTGCTAAACGTCATGACTAATTCGCTTATGCTACCGTGCTAATAAGAGAAATATTTACAAAATGGAGCGTAAATTCGAATATGAAGAGTGACAGATGGTGATTAAGACATGCCCTCGAATTTATAATGGTTGATGAATTTAAATTTTCCACACTCGAATGTTATTCTGTAGATTTGTATTAATACGAGCAAAGTAAACACAGGACCGGGTTTCGCAATACCTATTCAATTTATTTTGGCAGGTTTTGATCGCGGATGCGTTTTGTTTTCGCTCTCTACCGCGCTTTGTATTATTATAATTGTATTTATATTGCGCTGTATTTAACTCATCCTTTAACTATTGCATACACTTTAAAATTAGATCGATTAATTTTCCGCTTATTTTTGTTTTATTTATTAATTAGGTACTTAGTGCTTAGTATGCGACACTTTTAAATGTATATTTTTTAACTGGGATTGTTATTTTTTTAATTTGATCAACATGAAATGCTATTCTATATTGATAGATAAAATTCTGCTACTGGTCAAGAATTTGATATTTCTCGTTACTGCTTTCCAGTGACCTGTTTTTAGAGAAGTCGTAACTGACAGCCGGCATAATGGGAACGCCCCAATTATTGTCCTAACATCTAAACACGTTGCCTAAATCCGAAGTTTGATGATGTCATTGACCGACCCAAATATTTTGCCTGAGGAATGACGTATTGCTGAATGATGAGCGTCGTATAAATTTACAAATAGGCGGGCAACATTTTTCGAGGTCATGTGATACATAGCGGCGATTCTTTGATATTGAGAGCATCAGGATGCACACGCGTCGTTTTATTTTAGTGTTATTGTTGACATAGACCCTACGAAAGGTGTAGTAGACAGTTTTTATTTGGAAAATAAGGATGAGAAAATGTTTTCAAATATTAGCACCACTATATTTAGATAGTTCGGATAAAACCGAGTAGCAGACGACGTCCACCTGGATATAAATGAGTACGTTTACGGTTATCACCAGGTTTATAAAAGTATTATAGGTTTAATGCGAAAAAAAATAGTAAGCTGATATTTAAAAAAAATTATAACGACTAATGTAAACTTTAATAGGTATTTTAGATATTAATATATTATAATAGGTAAAGATTAAGGTTCACATGATGTTGATTAAAAAAAATGCCTTTAGCTTATTTTGTCACAATCATGACAACAATTTACTTTATAGAAAAGTGCACTAATTTTGTGAGCCCATTGTGTTATGTACAAAGTGCAATGCCTGTATCCGGCTGCTTTGATAATGAATGGGAATGTGTAACGTACTTTTGTATATATCACTAACTATTAACATCGTCTGCTTATAATTTTACTAGATTATTAAAGTGATGAAAAATATAAAAATTAAGAGATATCCTTTCAAACTATTTTCTTCTCTACCTTATACCTATCTTTCATGTCAACTTTAAAATAAAAACTTATGAAAATAAATACGTATTGACATTTTACGCGGTTACAAAATGACTTCACTTTGTTAATCTGATAAGTTCACAGTTTGTCTATTGTTTCTAATATTGCTAGTGAAATTACTAATTTATGTAAAATCTCTTTTACAACTGCCTATAAATGCTATTGTAGCAACAACGCGTTTAACTATTTAGAACAAAACTTTGGACAACAACAAAATCGGGTGCGGGGGTTGGTTGACTTCATACATACCTTTGAATCTTTTTGCATACATGTGCAGGTTGCATCACGATGTTTTCCTTCATCGTAAAAACTTCGGATAAATGTACAGATGTAAATCGAAAATCGAAAACACAATGGTAAATGGCGGGATTCGAACCCAGAACCTGCAGATTGCAAGTCAAGTGCTTAACCCCTTAGCCACCGACCCTCTATAACCAACAACAACCAACTAAAAGCAGAAAATATATTTTAGCTATTCCGAAATTTCGTCTAAACAAGATCATCGATCTCGAACCGTTTTTACTTATCTAAAGTAGCATTTTTAACCCATTTTCAACCTTCTTTAAAAATAATTTCATATCTATTAAAAATTGTATCTTTTAACAAAAATTTATGTGAAGTATCTTGTTGCAATTGCGAATTTTTTGCTTACCTCGCCGAGCACGGCGTGCGCGTAATGCAATATGTGGGAAGAACATTTTTGTTTTTATTGTTTAATCTATTTTTGGTATAGAAACCCCCCCTCAACCATTTTCAGAACACCTTGCCAAACTTTCATCAAAAACCTATCAATGGTTAATAAATGCATCCACGGAAAAAATATAAACGTTCATTTTAATTTATAAAAATCGAAGAGAAAACAAGAACACAGACAAAATGTCATTCATTTTATTCTAATTCAAGATATGGCTTGTTTTCTCTCGTTTTTTTTAAACGGAGGAAAAATATAAGCTATATTATACTATTGTCGTAAATTTCACCTCTTTTTAGCTTCTTTTTAAGCCATACCTACTTTTCCATTTTAACCTGACTTACTTATGCCAAGCGTCGGAAACTGATTTTGGGCCGTTTGCACCTGCGTGATTATGTGGATGGACTCGGACTGTCCGATGACTAAACACAGACAGATATGCACCTCGCATTAATTTATCAGAAATAATTACGGATCCGACGGACTATACAAAATCGACGGTACGTGTAGCGCGGTTGTCCGTGGTTTCCTGCACAGTGGAAGCGCGCCTTGATGATTCTTAAATCTATTTTACTCTTATGTCAATTTGCGTACCTTCCGTCGATATTTCCAATGTTAGTTGGCTATTAGCTTACTTTCTCTTTATCATAATGATAGATTGAATCCATGACCACAAAAGGTATTTAGGATGTTAAGTCCTATTAACAGACAAAATCCTACACCCTAGATTTTTGTGTTGCGACATTTGTTTAAATAGGAAAGCTTTGCGAATGTTTTTGCTAGCGCGCTCAGTAGTTAATATATCTCCAAAACTATGATGAGATAGCGATTACGGTTAAGCGAAATAATTGATGTTAGTTTAAAGCCGAAGTCTTTGCGCAAAAATATTAATTCGATTAGTTTTTTGCTTTAGCATATGTCCAACAGCAGTTGTCTCTTGGCTATAATTAATGGACAAAATAAACTTTTACACATACATCATTAATAACGTTTATTCACACAAAAAATGTTTTTACGATTTAAAGCTTGTCAGCTATGTTTTTTACACTTTTTTTGATGTTTGATAAAGTTTTAAGGTAATATTTAAATTACACTGTATGTCTGGGATTAGATGAGGTAAAAGTGAACGTATATACCTATCACTGTCAACTTCAATTGAATTAAATTATATGATAGAATATTTATACATAACAAGTGAATATAGTGGCTGGGCATATGACTTACTATCTCATTATTAGAATTATACTTCTGTCGATCGTATAGTAATAATAATTGCATTTGTGCTAACTATGTGTATTGCGAAGTAAAGATGTGTGTGATGCTTGCTTAATAAAAGTTGTAAAGCAAAAAGCGATGGCAATAAAACTATTAGCGAAACTTTTCCTACTGTAAGCTTGCTTATCGACTATGTTTGTTTATGTACTATTTGTAATCTATCTTGTACAAATCATACAACGAAAATTTAATCTACTCCTGTTGTATGATTTTTCTAAAAATTTGATAAACACTTTTCGTACTGCTGGCATTTTGCAATGCAATTGCAATGGAATTTTTTATAACTAGTCATCGACGTCATTACAAAATATTGGATATAATTATGTAAGCGCCAATATAGACATCAAATGAAAGAGCCTGACGAACAGAGCACGTTACGCTATGAAAAATCCAAAATGGCTGCTGAAACTCAATGACATATTTTTGCAAAATTCTTCAACATGGGTAGCAAATGAAAGGATTCGACCTCTGCTGAATATTGTAAAATAAAAGTGTACAATTTTTGACTGAGATTTATTTTAAAGCACAATTTTTCAGGCGTGCATTGATGATAACATGGATATGGTGGAGTTTCTGGTGAGCCACGGCGCAGATGTCAACCGGCGTGACAATGAGGGCTGGACTCCCTTACACGCCACAGCGTCTTGCGGAATCGACAGCATAGCGAGGTAACTATTGCTACAAGCGAATGTACTATATTACAAGGTATACTGTGTTACTTGTTGTTGTTTACTTTTTTAATAAAAAACCTGGCAACACTCCTATCTCAAACGCTTACATATAGCAAATATTGTTACGTGGCAGAGCAGTATATGCTACAGAATTATTGCATGGATAATAATAATCTTTATTTAATTCGTAACTTTGTACCGCAGATATTTATAAATTGAGATGTATAGTATACATACTAATGAGGTGAACCTGAGCGCTAATAAAAATGTGTCTTGATAAATAAAATACAAATTTCTGTGTGTCAAACTTTACAGAGATGCAATTTTTCTTTCTCCGTTTGTCACAATAGTTAAAGGTTTTACTTTTATTCGAATTGGCCTATCGTTTATAATCATTGGCTTGCAATCATGCATGTCGTAGACTCGATGTGGAGACTACTTCAAATCCATATCACATTGGTGATGTTCACTAACGCTGACATTATATTTAACGGGTGGTCAAGGGTTCTTTTGAAAGATTTAGAAAATATTTAAAATATATATTTCATAAGCTTCCTTTTATTGTAGAAAAAACTGTGTTTTTGTATTTCTTTGCGGACTTGTTGAATAATTATATAAAAACCGTTTTTTTTAGATGTAAAGTATAATAAAGCAAATACAATCTTACTTCAGATTCTGAGTTACGTATTAAATATGCATATTCCCATTCACACTTTCGTATTTATTTTATTAGTAAAACAATAATATGCATATTTATTTTTTAATTTTTCAATCAATTATGAATACAAAAGTCTAAAACGTTTATAAAATATCTTGGATACGCGAATGGTCGACAGTTTTTAAAAATGCGTTATTTATATATTTGCTAGGAACAAGGCATTTTTCTGTAAGTGCGTAATAGCTAGGCATAAGCACCAGCTGTGGGTACGCACACCCAAAACGTCTAGAGACTTGACATTTTTCACAGAGGTTTCTGTTACCATGTAGGCGTCCAGTAAGAAGGGATTTTACGAAATACATCTCCTAAAGGTCCAAAATGGAGGGCCAAAGATTGTAGTGAGGCAACGTTATTCCTTGGATGGAATTCCATGAAATTTGAGATTAATGCTTTTCAACACAAATCATTAACTACGACCCTCGGGCTTTTTACAAATTTTATGTTTTAAACGTCAAAATTGAGATGAACGTGTTTTAGACTAACGCAACTACGTCTATCAAGTTTTTTTCTAATTTGACCTCTAAATGTCTAAAAATGGGGGTTTTAGTACGTACCCACAAATGTTTTTCTTAGCATAGATACAAGGTCTAGAGACTTGAAATTTTGCAAAGCAGAAGGGGCATCTATAACTACGTAGACAAAGACTGTAAAAACCTCTGATCTATTCCTTTAGCAGAATTAAGCACTTTAAAATTGACATTAATACTTTTCAGAACAGATAAATAACTATTTCATTCACTACTTTTCTTAAATTCCGCGCGCACCAAGTCGAGGGCAATCTCTAGTATGTACATATATTGCTCATCGATATAGTCGTCACTCAAACCAGATTAGCTTGCATGTGTTTAAGTGGAAAGGGGGCCTTAAGAAAACCCTTAGCAAACAAATATATAATCAATGACTTACTTTAAACTCTTTGAGAAAATATTTTTCTAAAGTGATTGATAAAATCAATATATTTTTTTCAGGTTCTTGATTGAGAACGGATCGGACGTGGCTGCAGTAAATTATGATGGAGAGCTGCCTATAGATCTTGCGGAAATACCAGAAAGCATGCGCCAACTGCTTAGGCAAGCAATAGAGTCGCAAGGTATCGTACCATACAAATACGTTTATCTTAGTAATTTTGTTTATGTCACAATCTGACAAAGTAGTAAGTAATAGGCAAAGATAACAACGCGAACAGCAAATTGAAAAAAAAACATAATGTGATGATAGACTCCATCCATCTAAACTTTGGCATATTATATATATATATATATATATATATATATATATATATATATATATATATATATATATATATATATATATATATATAAAAGAAAGTCGTGTTAGTTACACTATTTATAACTCAAGAACGGCTTTACCGATATGGCTTTAAATTGGTGAGCTTAGAGCCAGGAGACGGACATAGGATGCTATTTATTCATTTTTTTTTCGAATTTATGCCTTGAAGAGCTGTTTTTTATTTAACTTACTTATATTATAAATGCGAATGTTTAGATGGATTTGATGTGGATGGATGGATGGGTGGGCTACACTAAGTTTTTTTTATATATCCAAGCGGACGGAGTCGCGGGCGACACCTGGTTTGTAATATTAGTAAGACATTATTATTTTACAGTATTATTAAATTTGTTTTAAGGTATTGATTGTGACAAATGCCGTAAAGCCGAGTCGACAGCTCTGTTGACGGACGCGAGGCAATGGGCAAAAAATGGGTATGTCGAAGTACGTGATCCGAAAACTGGAGGAACTCCCTTGCACGTAGCTGCAGCTAAAGGTTACTTAGAAGTGAGTATGATTTTACTTTATAACTTTTCAAGATGAAATAGTATAGCGACGTGGAACGGATGATGCTGATAAAATCAGCTTTAGGGCAAAACAGTTTGAGTATATTCATAAAACAAATCAGTTTGATTTGTTTTATGAATATACTCAAAAAATAATAAATCTTAATAATGATGGTAAACGGGTTTAATGTTAAAAAAAATTATGTCAGCGTTCCGTTGATTTCCGTCCATTTATAACGAGAATATACTTAATTCAATCCATAAATGTCTATAAAAAGATAAACAAACAAATGAGAAAGTATTTCAGGTTTCTTGAAAAATCATTCTCAAGTCTGATGCCGGTTAGTGTGAAATATGAAATTTTTTTACAGGTAGCTAAAACCCTATTGGAAGATTGCAAGATCGATGCAAACTGCATTGATTACGAGGGATGGACCCCACTGCATGCTGCAGCACTGTGGGGACAGAAGGAAGTGGCGGCCCTTTTAATAAATCATGGTGCTAAACTTGATATCAAGAACTATTCAGTAAGTAATTATTTCTTAAAGTTAAAACTTACAGTTTGAACAGAAATACAGAGAACCTAAATATTTTTCTGCTGATCTAAGCCTCCTTCGTTAGTCGGAGAGGCACCTCAAGAAGAAGAAGAAGAAACCTCCTTACTTTTAAAGTGTAAATGTAAATAGGTTTTTATTATTTTATATACATATTTGTTAATATCTGCATTTCATTTGCTTCTTTCTGATTCCTTGATAGTAAACTTAAATTAAAAAGATCTTTTTTCCTAAAAAAAACTACAATTGATCTTAATTAAGGACATTTTGCCGTTGGAGACCAAAATAGTGTGGTGACCCTGTGGGACAACTTAAATTAATTGAACCAATTGCTCACTTGACACCTTCAATGAGAATTATTTTGTGTATAATAGAAGTAAATGATGCACAGGAAATGTCACATATACATGAAACTTATTAATTAAAGTACTAATTATTGAATTATCTATATAAAATATGTGAAGTTCACTATAGAAATCATATTGTTTTAATTGCTAATCATTGTATCCAATCGTAGGGACAAACCTGTGTCGAAGTAGTGGACCCCAAAATCTCCACCTGGTTGAGAGAAGCAGCGGTTACTGCTCGTCGCAAGTTGCTTCTTGGAGAAAACACCAGGACAAGGGCTGGCAGCTTAAGGCGTGTCACACCAAATCCTACTGACGAAACAACATCGGAGGGCTTTGTTAACGGTACAATTGACGTATTCCTATATACAAATATACTAATACCTAACTACCCCAAAGCAATCAGCCTGCAAACCTATGCTTGGTATTCTTTTTTTTTCTTTCTTATTATAATTTTCATATTAGTAAAATAATTTCACATTTCTAAACCTATTTCTCAACAATGCCTTCATGTTTTCACAATTATAAAGGTTTATTATATGTTTTGCTATGTACACTGTATATTAACATTTCAAAATTCCGTGGTTAAGAATACATTATTCACCATCATAAATATTAACATTGTTCATTACTACCAGGCGCAGGGAGGGCAAAAGTGGCACCAAAAAAAAATTTCAACAATCCAGCACCTCCTTGCGTTCGTCTCAAAAATGTTAGGGCTAAAAAAGTACAGAGTAAGTAGACATGCGAAAATAGTATTGGTGCAGAGGTCTAAATGGAAAGGACATTATTATTACTAAAAAGGATCTTTATAGGAATTATTATGTGGTGATGGACCATAACTGTTGACTGATATCAAGACATTTCCAACATACTCGTTAAACTGCATTGACCACTGACTTAAGGCATGCAATGCGGTATTATCAGAATTTCGCAGACATTTGTAGAAAAAATAAAAATACAATTATTGCTAATTATTCCAGGCGCAACTCAACGTTTGCGTTTTGTGAAATTTATATTTAAATCAACTTTAGTTTTTTTTTAAATTATAAATGGATCCTATTAGCATGAGTAGTACTAAAAATATGTAATCTTTATATTTTTGGGTTGTCCAACAATGGTAGTTATTGAATGTGTAGTATGTGTTTGTCGATTTATAAAAAAGAAACGTAACAAATTTGTGTTCGTCTTCATGTGGTTATAAAAATATTTAATAATGTTATTTAATTCTGAATTGTGTAAGCATATAATATAATGTGTTTTATAAAGTAGTGCATGAAATCATTAGATGATGACGCATATAATAGTGTTCTAGGAAATTGATTTTGACAATTTGAAATGATTTGTTATGTTGAGTACATTAAACATTAGTGGCAAATGATAACCCATTTTTCTGCTTAATGAGGAATCCTCAGCAATCAAGAGGCTCGGAACTTACCCAATTTAAAGTTCATTAGGCCATAGTCAACAATGCCAGTGTGGGTTGACTTCACACATATCCTTTGTATCTCTTCGCAGCTATGTGCAGGTTGCCTCACGATGTTTTCCTTTACCGTAAGAACATCGGGTAAATGTACGGTTGTAAATCGAAAAACACATTAGTTCATGGCGAGGATCAAACTTGAATGTTTTAGATAACGGTCCGACCCGGCCAGGCGGTTAATAACTGAGCCACTGAAGACTAAACATACACTGCTTAATTAAATAATTTCTAAGCTGGCTGTAGTATTTTAAACCTGTCGCCTGCTATACCATCCGCGCGGAATAAAAAAAAACTTTAGTACTCTGTGTTTTCTTCTGGAATATATCTTATATATGTGCCGAATTCATCGAGATATAGTCTTTCTGCAGATGCCTTCTTACAAATATTAATCCATCCATAAATTCATCCAAACATTGACATTTATAATATTAGTAATAAGTAATATTTTGATTGTATTTCTTGATTGTAAAATTATGTGTCATTAAATAATAAAAATATTCCATGTTATTTCAGGAGTACATAACACTGCTGCGAACAACCATGTCGCTTTAAGACGCACGCACAGTTTTGAAACCGATAAGAGGTTAGTACCGGCTTTATAATAATATTTGTAAAAATCCATGGGGAAAACACTCACCCTAATGAATCGGAAGTTTATCACAACTAACAGATTTATTACTTCTGGCATACAATTTTCTCGAATAATACTTGTATTATATGCATGCATGGAACAGAACTTTAATTAAAAAACTTACCTTTGTGTAATTAAATTCATATTTCATAAAGTTTAGAATATCTTTAATAGTAGGAATAGGATTACGATCTTGAGGGCTATTTGGTCATCTTGTGATTGTACGAATTTTAAATATGTTAGACATTTATGCACTTTGCTCAAAAGCATTGAAAATTCTTTTAGGAAATTATAAATTAGAATATTCTATTTAAACCGTTTTATAAACACATTGTAGATATAATAATATTTTCTAGCATCAATTTCCTATCAAATAATGTGGGAGAGTCAACGTAACTGAGGCTTTTGACTACAATGACACTTGTATTAATACGTATTGTAGTCTTTTTTTTAGTCACAGAGAATATAAAAACCTACAAGGATATCTGACCCGGTGAAAATAAGTCAAACTAAACTACGACAGCTCACTAGCGCCCCCTTTCAACTACTAATAAGAGTCACTAGATCCTTTTCGTACTGTTTCTGTCAGTTATGTTTATTTTTCGTCATTTTTTATGACCCACAGTCTCGCTTACCAACTCTGATATCCTTGTTTGACTGTAAGGGATGACATTATGTATTAATACAAGTGTTAGTACGGTGAAGTTTTAGGGTAAAGTGGTTGTATGTATGCGAACAGCTTCTCTCAGCGTTACCGCAACGTGACTGAACACGTTAAAGCATCATCGTGTTCATCCATACCGCCCATGTCGCCGCAGTCTCGGCTGCCTTCGTCATCCATCGAAGTTAAAAGAAAACCTACCAAAATTAACAGCTCGGCAGGGCATACTAACAAGGACGTCCAAAACAGGTGCCGCGCTATCTTATTGCAATATGCTGCGACCAACGAATCAATTATTTAGTCTTAAAATACCCAATACAGTGTATTTCAATTATAACAACGATGTGACGACTAAAATTTCGTGGTCATCATCAAACGATAGTCATTAATAGGTGGGAATAAAGTAAAAATTGTCAGCATGATATGATCATAGTATGAGGTGGGAAGAATTTCATGCGACATGTACATTTAAAAAAGATGGGGATATAATGTATGTAATGGTTGGGTTTGGAATAGGGGTTGAACAATGAAGCGATGGATGGATGATGTGAGTGAAGTGACGTTAAGGAGTAGTGAACTAAATGACAAAGGCAAAGATCTGGTGCACCGGCGACACCTACAAAGCGATAAGGAGGGGGAGATGACAATAACGCAAATAACAGATTTTTAAAATTTATTCTTACCTACTTAATTACCGTGTAATAACAAAAACTTAATACATGTATTTGGTGATAACAAATGTAGGTGTTGGTTATAAATGAAATCTGCTGTATGAGTGCAAGCTGCATACATCTTATGTGTAAATTAAGATCATTGGTCACAGTACGACATCAATTTTAATACATTAACTAAAACATTACACATAACTACTAACATATTATAATTTTTGTAGATATATAATTATTCTTAAAACATGCATTCTTCTCCTTGATCCTTATAACGTTAGATTATTGTGCCTTTTCTCATTGTAATTTATTTTGAAATGTAGATAATCTAAATTTATATAAATGAACGAAAAAAGAGTACAAATTTCAAGAATTGATTCTAGCTCATACGAAAAATAATTTGACGAAAATGACTAGTAAAGAAGCAATTTATTATTTAATTTAACTTGTCTGACTTTTTTTATAAATATTTATTTCGATTTGATATATATAATTTATATCAAAATATTTTTTAGGCTAGATATTATTCGTTCCAAACTTTTTGGCGGTTCAATATCACCACGTATAGTGAAGTACCGCCTCCCTTACATCCCCCGCCTCCCTCACATCCCCCGCTTCCCTCACAACCCCGAATCCATTTACGTCCCGCTACACCTGTCCGCCAAACCGCCGACGTGTTTGATAACTAAAATACAGTTACAAATAACTTAGTGACATATTTCAATCCAAATTCAGATATAACTAGTATCATCAAAATATTCAGTACTTTTGTCGTCATAAATGATGTGTTATTCTTTCTGTTTATCAATAGTAACAAGGAAAAGAGTGATTCGGCGGCTACCAATACCAGCAACCCGCGATTCGACGCCTCCTACGTGACGATCAGGAGGAAGTAAGTCCCTGACTCTGTCTTTACTAAAAATACCTCAATAAAGAAAAAGTTTCTTTCATTTACCTAGTTTTTCAAAAGTAGCGATATAGTAATTTTCATGTGAAATGTATACAAAATATTTGGAGATGTTTTTGTGTTACTAAAAGTTCCCGAGGTGAACTTTGATTTTTACAGTAAAATAATTAATCCATATCGTTACTTTTGAAACAACTTTAATGTAAAATTGTTGTCATGATAATGTTCTCATTAGTACGTTCAGTACATTATGTATCTTAGAAAATTTATATCTATTTAGACATAGGACAACAACAACAGACGTCTTACAAAAGGCGTATCTTAATTTAAATGATGGATCGATAAATTCTTACATATTAGTGCGCAAACGCATACTAGTTTTACACATTTCGATGCATGTATTGGTATAGTAAGTAGTTGCACAAAATTTTGTTAAATAGTTCTGAATACCCTATCAAAATTTCATCCCTAATTTTCCGGTGATTTTGGGATCTATTTATACAAGTTATTAAATGGTATATCTTTTAGTGCACTTTTCTTTCTTGATCAGAATATGTATTGGATTGTTTATGAGTATTTTAAGCATAGAATTTGGATTTAGTTCTTATGGTAATTAGGTTTTAATTAGTTATTGTATATGACAGCTCACCAGAGAGCGTTGAATCAAACACTAGCGAATCGACCCCGAGTACAACCACGCCAACTAAACTATCGCCAGGCAACATATTCAAGAATTTCTTCAAGTACCAACGCTATTGATGATTTTTATTTACTTGAACACGAACAGTTTTTGCTATATACACCGCATTAGAATTTCAAATTCATTTCATATAACATTTTTGCTTTGTAAATCATCTAAATTTAATAATTAGCTTACCTCCAGTAATGAGAAAATACTATACAAACACAGAGAGAACTTACAGTTGTATATAGTAAGGTTATTCATCATCAGCTCACTATACGCTCCCACCGAGGGACTTGGAGCCTACCCTAAGTTAAGGGTGATTAGGCCATAGTCAACCACGCTGGCCAAGTGCGGGTTGGTTGACTTCACGCATATCTTTGAATTTCTTCTCAGATATGTGCAGGTTGCATCACGATATTTTCCTTCACCGTAAGAACGTCGGATAAATGTACATATGTAAATCGGAAATCGAAAAACACATTGGTACATGGCGGGATTCGAACCCAAGACCTGAAGCTTGCAAGTCAAGTGCTTATCCACTGAGCCACCGACGCTCCTAAGTAAGGTTATTGTTCACATAAATTTAATGTGATATAATACATGTGAAGTCCAACATTTTCGTTTAACTTGTCAATCCGACAGTTTGACAGTGCCATTCGCATTCTTCTCCGATGAGTTAGGTGTAATGGTTCATGCTTCATAAAAAAAATTGCATTAATTTTAATTATAAAAGGTGTAAAAATGTACATTATTTGATTTACAAAGCTTAAATCGCTTATTATGTAAATATTTTAATCTTTTATATAAATTTCTGCTATAAACTGACATAGAATTACCATTCGAGGTAGACAGTTTGTAGATCCGTGTTCAAGTTAATATTTGTGTGTTTTTTTTTTGTAGAGCTTATTTTAATGTTTGCTTATCCGTTTATAATTTGCGTATTTCATCGACTTTATAGGCGTAGAAGTGCATGACATTTCTTGTTGTATTTTCAGTGTTGAAGAATTATTAACGTGTGCATGGTTTATGTTTGACACACACGTGTGATTTTTGCGATTTATATTTTGTAAGTACTATATGAATGATTTTTTAAGGACGTTCGTGCCGCCTGTGCGAGATGATGAGAGTGAAACCCAAAGAAAGGCGCATGCGAAACGTGTGCGCGAAACACGACGTTCCACGCAAGGGGTCACACTGGATGAGATAAAATCGGCAGAGCAACTTGTGAAAAATAAAAATAATGCGACACCTGAAGCCTCAACGTCAAGCGCGAGCCAATCACAAAAATCTGACAGTACTGTTATTATTGAAGATACCGACATGGTAAGTTTTCTACCATTTGCAATTATTTTGTACAGTTAATATATATAGTATTCTTAGTTTTAACCTTTTGTTTCCCTTCCCTTTATTTTGTAAATATGTGTATTCATATTTAAATATCATTGTGTTTAATTATTATGTTGTCTTTATCTGATTCGGTTTAATTTAATACATCAATATGAGATGTTGCCCAAATATTGTAAGTTTTGTCTTAAATTTGTTTAAAATTTGATGTTTGTAGTTTTTGGTTATAGATTTTAAAATTGGACTGCCTATTAGAATTTCAAAAGCCACTAAATAGATATTCTTTTTCTCTTCATAATTACTACTCAAATCGAGGCAAATATTTATTCGTATACCTTTGATGGTTATTTATTATTCTCATTATTCATGTAGAGTCAATAGTATAGGTATGACTTGGATCATTTGGTATTGAAAAGATTTAAAAGTGCAAAGCATCGTTTTTTTGGTTACTTTTGTCCCACTCGATGTATCGCTGTATAGAGAGGCGCGAGGGCCGCCGGCGATGTGGCGGTAGCATGTAGCGTGGCGTTGGCGTGCGCCTCTGCCCCAGCTTCCGCCACCGCGTCCGCCACAGCCGCGGCAACGATCGCCGCGCATGGCGACCGTCGCCCCTCGTGGCGGCTGCGCCTCGACCCCGCCTACAAGGTCTTTAGACCACTCAAATTATCGCATCACGTATCATTCGGATATCATACGTCATATATATTTTTCATATTCACATTTTTAAACAAACGTATGCCGTATAACGTTAGGTTTTGCACAACGATTTTAACCTTGCAGTCATAAACATTCATAGTACTCGTATAACTATATAGCTGCGTTGCCTATCGCGTTTAAGGTCAAAATTGTCATGCAAAATGTAACTTTTGCGGCGGGTAAAAGCTTACCGAAGTTTCGTAGTATTTATTTTCTCCATTTCATTTTTACGCAACTCTTTTGAGTCTCATACTTGGATGGTGATGCAAACTCCTGTGCGGTATTTAACGAATCCTTCTAAAACACCTTAAAATGGGACTGTAAGAACAAAAAGGTTGTTTAGATTGAATTATATTCAGACTATAATAATAAAGTGAAAACTTATTTTCCATTTATTAATGACTACCAATATAAATATGTATATGTACTATGATATCCGTATGTATGTATGGAACACGACTATCAATTGCTTTAATAAACATATAGCAAATGGTTTTGAATTCTTAGTTTGTATTTAATTTTAATTTTCGCGATTTTATTTGGCTCCGAAGAGAGAGAGAGAGACAGAGAGAGAGAGACAGAGAGAGAGAGAGACAGAGAGAGAGCACTAAATAAATAGCTGTGTCTTTATAATAATGACTAATGTAACACATCAGATAACTTTCTCAAAGGCAGATAAACCGACAAATTATTATGTTTTTTTTTAAATTTAATAACTGCATTTAATGATTGATTTACATTCCTGTAGCATTTGATAGTCGTGTTTGATTGTGTCATTAGCTCGTGGTTATCGTAAAGCTGTTTCAGCGTGTTTCATTAGGCATTATAACATTATTACTGCACTGTGCAACTTTTGTTGTGTACTGAATTCTATATTATATTCTTTGATAGCTATTTTAGTTCATTTCTTCTATTTTGTCTAAAAATCTATTTTAAATTATTTGTTTGCAAAATTAAATGATTGTTTGATGATTGATATCATTATGAGGTCGAGTTCGCATGTGGTATGTTGTGGTAATGTTTAATTTTGGTACAAGCTATGATTTTCCTAATGGCTGAATCGAATTTGACTGTTTAACTTATATTTTCATGCGCATGTTGTTCTTGTAAATGAATGAATGAATTAACCTACATGTCTCACCACACCTTGTGATAATAAAATTTGTAGTGAGTGATATTTAACTGTAATACAGTTTTATTTCTACTAAATAACAGCAACAAAAAGTTATGTAACTTGTTAATATTGAATCGAATCTTTTATATATAATTGTTCCCAATCACTACTCACCAACATGATTCACCACAGTTGTATTGTTGCTGGTGGACATTTAAATATTCACTACAATGTTTAAAGGTCTGTCCACATCACGCAAAAATTAATTTTGTCAGTCAGAACATTCGCCTGGCGGTTTGATGTGGTTGCATTCTAAAACATGGAAATAAATAAATCAAAAATGTTTTGGGGTGTACATAAAAATTATTTAACTTGACTTTTTTTGTAAATGGAGGAGGACGGTGAGACGACTACGGTGAAGGCGACATCAACAGGGGCACCTCAAGCCGCAGCTGAGGCCACAGTATTTGTGCGCCGGACGACGGCACCTAGTACTTCAAAGTCACTGAACAGAACAGGTAATACATAGAAATAAAATGGGTACATCTTTGATATAATACCCTTTAGTCACGCAGTTATACAATAAAATTTTAAAAGTACTAGCTGTCAACCGCGACTCTGTGTTTCAGACTATGCTCTATGTGTATGCCAAATTTCATTGAGATCCGTTCAGCCGTTCTAGTGATATCATCAAACAAACATACATCCATCTAAACATTCGGATTTATAATATTACTAGTCATCGTATAAATAAGTATAAAAGAAAATTTAAGTCCAGTGAAAAGATGGTTTAAATTAATCGTCGACCTGTTTCTATAAAATGTGTGCTTCAATAAAAATTAGATGCTTTAATGTTTATTTGTATTTTGCAAGAAGACGACAAAGAGACGGAGAAAAGAGAGAACGAGGTTACGGAGTGCTTGTCTTTGAGCAGCGATCTCGGGTCATGCACCATCTCCTCGCCCGCTACTCAGGCGGCACAAAACGTGATACATCGCCGTCGCCGGTCGAAACGCCGCTCAACTGGTGTCGGACAAGTAGACTTTGAAGTAAGTATTGAATGTTTAAATCATTTTAACAACTGATTTCATGCTGTACGCTGATCCTTTCTTCTTACCCTAATACGCCTCGTCATATCTTCGGGGCTAGACAAAATGCATTCGCTTCGAAGCGATTCCATAACGAACTTCAAAAATACATAGAACGGAGAATAACTTTCGATAAGCCACGTGATTGTCGCCCATCAGTTCCATACATTATGGAATCGCTTCGAAGTCAATGCACTTTGCCTAACCCCTTGGTGTTTTATGCAGCATTGTGTTCTGCGCAGCGACTCGTGCGACGATTCGATCTGCTTGCATATTTGAAATATACAATACCAGCACAATTTTAAATAATTAATTTAGTTTTTTTTTTCAAAGTTCTTATCCAAATTTCGAGATTTATAAGGAAAGAGTACAGTAATAAAATATATCTCAGTTTTACGCTGCATGACGACATGTTTATTTTGACGAGAAATCACATGATGCGTATACAGATTGTTTTTAAGAAATTGTTTAAAAAAAAGTTCTTAGAAGACGATGTAATATTGTAACACGACTCGAAAAATGTTCGCTGGATATTTGCCAAGATTAGTTAATAAATAACACATAACTGACGTAAGAACAGGTCCCATTTTTGCTATGGTCTTCAAAGAATATTTGTATATTCAGTAAATCCTTACGTTTGTAAGCAAAAGTAGTTGCAAATAAAGCTAAAAATCAATTGATCACGTAGTTTAAAAAGTTGCTATTGGCAAATATTTTTAAATTTACGACGTTTGGCGTAACAGGAAAAAGTGTAGTAACTTAATTAAAAAAATGATTCTTGTGTTTTCTTAGCTAGTGATCGCAAAAATTATGTTTAAGATTGTAAATTTAATATGGATTAAACATATATTTTTTTAACGTAGAAAACTCAACCAGAGTACTAAACCCTACATGTCCGATTTCAATAACACTTGTAATTTAAATGATGGATTTGAGATTCATCTTTAGTTTGTTAACTAAAAAAAATGTTTACACTGACTTTGTTTTGTACAATATTGAATTTCTTTAGGACTTAACTAATGATCGAGGTGCAGGCGGCGATGGGGACGAGGAAAATGGTGATAAAAACGAACCAGTAAGTGTTTTGATGTTGTTATACTCTTTTTGTTGATTTATTACTGTGAAAGATAAACTGTTTTCCATACGTCGAAAGTAACGTCTTTCTTGTAAACAGTAATGTTTATTTTTGCTTATCTGCGATATTTTCAACTGGTCTTAATTGATTCAATTTAAAGATCGCAATGGCAATTTAAAAACGTGATTTTTTAATGGAAAAATAATAAATAATTATGGAATAATAACACTTTAGTGTATATTATGAATATCTATCATCGATTAATCAGTTTCAGTTTTCTACTAAAAAATACTTTAATATTATTTATTAAGTCATTCAGTAATATAAATATTAGTATTCATTTGCAATAAACAAAGATGACGTTGAGACAGCCAGAACGTATTTAAATCTTTTTAAAAGTCGTTAAGTTAATACAAGACATTTTCTTAATGAGCAAAACAACAGTAATATGTAACAGTTACAATCCAAAATTGACATATTGGCTTGAATCCAATCGGTACTGTATACTAAATGACCCATAAATTCGTACGTCAACCGCGAACATTTCAAGTACATTTGTTTATATTTACAATTGATTTATCTATTTGTCTATTTGTTGTTAAAATCTATATACTATCAGAACAATATCAATGTTAATGTTTATACCTGTCTAGTCGTGACTAACTGATTGATGTTATAAATGAATTCTGAGAATGATCAAACTGTAGCGCGTATATCGGTCGATGACGGCCCATCTTACTGAACACATGGCCGAGTGACGCAGTCTACGCGTCTTACTCCTCTTCATTCTTTCTTTGTATTATTTTATCTTAAAATTATAGTAGCTTTCTTCTTATAATGTGTATAATACTTTCACTTAGGTTCCGATTCATATCGAGTTTAAGCTTTATTAAAATTACCATTTAAAACTTACTGTAGCATGTATGTAGTATACATGTAGTTATGTAGTATGTATAGATCCGAGTACGGTTCTGATAAAATTAACTCAGCATCTCATTACTGGTCTCCTGCTTTTGGTATTAAAAATATCTCGCAATACTTAGAAGAAATCCGCTTCAGTTCGCGTGAATAGCTTTAGTCTTAATATTAATAACGGTAATATTCAAGTGTTTTATTAAAATCTGTGCAGTGATTTGGAAACGCAGAGACATAAAAACTTTGATATTTATTTTTTGACATAACTAAATCATATACATAGATATCCGTGAGCAGATATAGTGTGGTTTAGAATTCCAGTCATGTACATTAGACGGGACCAAACAAATCAGTATTTGGGTCACGCTGTATACTGAACGGGAATCTGTGTAAACTTGAAAATAGATTTTATTTTCGTCGCCGACCCAAAGACAAAAAGCATTACGTGCTACTGCAATTTAGCACAAAATTTACTTGGATTTAGAACAGAAATTTTATTGAATTTGGGATCAAAACCTTTAGAGTTATTTCATTTTATAGATCGCGAGATTATTTAATAAGAATTAAAACAGTATTTAAATGCAATTCATGAATATCTAATATTGGAGCATTAAATTGCAAAGAACGGGGCGTTTAATTACGCATTTGGAATGTTTTCCTCGCGTCAGACGGATTACTGTTGATGAGAAAGCATCCATTTCAATATCATCCGTAGCGTCATGGGCATCTCCCACACAGTTTCACAGACCTGTGTTTGGCGTGGGCGTCTACAACATTTCCACACCGCATAGATTTATAAGAACTTGAAAAACATTCAGTGTGTTCTCATATCGCGTACCGTTCGCCCGTAGTCTTATTTGTGACTGATTTTTCGCGTTTATGCGGGATGTGAGTGAAAATGAATCGAAAGCATGATAGATATACTTCGCGGCAGAGGGGATTGAATTCAAGCTATGGGTCATCTCCGAGCGTACTCGGCTCAATGGTCTCAAGTCAATATCGCCCCTACTCGAACAATTATTCCAATTCCTACACGGCTAGTGCGTATAGGAATTACAATCCGTATACGGTCGGTCTCGGCCGACCATCCAGTCTGGGAATATACGGTGGCACCAGTTCGGGATACGGCGGAGTATACTTGAGTAGTGCTACATTAGGATCATTGAACTTAATGACACCGGTCCTGAAAAAATTAGACAAAAAAATATTAGCTAGTCAAAAGAACTTCAAAGTGAAAAGTATTCCTCCGCCGAAGGCACAGGAACAATTGGACACTTCAGACGTAGCACCTGTGAGACCGGAGCGGAAATCTCGCTCGGCTACCAGAGACCGTGGCCTTAGTAAAGAACGTTCACGATCGCTCACATCTCTCGACTCAGCCGCCACTCTTGACTCGCGTTCCTTGAGTCTCAACTCTGTAGCTTCAGAAGGATATTGTGTATGTTTATCATTCATCAACATTGTATCAGTTGTTGAAGAAAATCAGATTGTTTATAACTTATAAATATTAGTAACTTCTTTTGAACAATTCTTTATAAGAATGCAAAAAATACAATGCGATGTTTTTCTTATTTTAGCACCACTGTATATACTTGGTATACTGAATCGTATCTTGTTTAGTTTATTAACACGAAATGTTTCGTACCATTACAGTCAAATACGGAGGAACGGAGCGAAGAAAACCTAGATTACAAAAAGTTATACGAGGATGCCATGGTCGAAGTGAAACGACTACAGGTGCAGCTGTCCATCAGCGAAACCAAACTTGTGGATTCTGAAGCTTTAGTAAAAGAATACGAGAAGGTATTACCAAAGGTTGCCAAATTTACTGTGGTGTTATATACAAGATGGGATAAGTTGGTGTCCTCTTCAGGGAATGTAGTCAAAATACTGGAAATATATGTTATTTTTTTTTAAAGAAGCAAAATTATATACAACATTTAAACTAATGCTAATGAAGTTTATATTTAAGAAAAAATAATTTAAGTCAAAACGTTTATTTTCCGTATTTCGACTCCCTCTGGAAGTATCAAAAAATTTCATCTTGGATATACCACCATTTTCTTTCATATGTTCTTGTATTTTATTCAAAATAGAAATGTCATGAATAAAATAGTATTACATATTTAAGAAGTCTTGATTATGAGCGTGTATTATAACAGATGTGACCCTATTTTAAAACATTTGACTAATTCTCGCCCACCGCTTAACTAATTATATTATTCATTTACGCATTGCGCGTTGATTGATTGGCGCAAGTTTCTGCTTTGCATCTCTATCCTCTCATTATGTTTGTTTTTTACGCTTTAAAGGCTTATTTAAATGTGTAAATTAATTTGCACATTGTAGTATTATTGCTTTTGCAAAAGTAATCTGCCCCTTATTTGAAGGACTTTCGCAGCGTAACGCAAATATGTCTGAAATTGAGAAGAGAGAAAAACGGGCAATGATCCGGAAGTTGTCCGAAATGGAAGAAGAATTGAAGGTAAGGCATAATCTTCTCTAAGACACATAAAACGGTCCTTAGATTTCAATGTAACATTTTAAATGACCATTTGTATGTACCAAACTGACATAGTTTTCGCAAAATGTATATCGAAATGGCGTTAAAGCGGTCGCATGGCTATAAGGAGTTGTAATATTGATATTCGTTTTATAGCAATTGCAAAAACTTAAAGCCGAGAACGAAAGGCTGAGAGCTGAGAATCGTGCCTTAACGCGGGTCGTGAGCAAATTGACCAACTCCGCTAAATAGGTAAAAATGTGTTCGATTGACAACAACCGCTCAGCGGCGACGGCGGCGACCACTCGGCCGACGGTCATGGTCCTTGGCTAGTTCACACTTCTCTTTTCTTTTTTATTTATATCAAACATTTAACTAATATGTTACTTGTTATTACGTATTACAAGATCTGACAAGAGTGAAACTGGATACTTGTATGTCGTAAGATTATGAACAAAGCCTCGACCGTTGACCGCACCGGGGGGCGTGCGCTGTGCCCCCTCCCCGAGACCCCAGCCACCGATACATTAACCGAGTGACGCGCGCATGCTTTGTTACGTGCCTGCAGCATACACGTGTGTGTTCACGGCCACCTCGGCGCCGGCGCCGCAGCCTCGCGGGTACTCACCACGTGCGCACTACCAACAACAAATTGTCTCTATAAAAATATATAAAACTACACATTAATACTTATCAAAAATTTATACTGTATACAAGAAACAATTTTTTTCCGACACAAAACTGCATTTAGAATTTTTTTACTCTCCAAGATGAGTTTGTTAACACTGAATACACCTTAAAATCCTGAACTACGTCTTTCACCTGAAGACGGAAAGTTGGTAATGCTCGCTACTTTTCGTTGTGACGTCACGCGTGACAACACACGCCTTGAACACAACACTTATCCCGGCGCATCCCGGCTCCTCCCGGCTACATGTAACGGACCTGCTACTCGCTGCGTTGTGCCTACATAACTATATTTCTGTGGATTTCGAATGCTTTTCGATACCTGTATCAATACATATTGCTGTCCCTTTCATTCTCTTTGACAAAACAGAGACTACAACATGTATTTATAAGTGTCAGTCGAATTCTACGGTTACATTTTGATTTGGTTACGTCTACGAATGCTTTGTATTAACAGACGTTCGAATTCAATATTTGTTTGAATGTAAAATTTTCTAGTCATAACTTTATGTTAATTGAAAATTCAATTTGTCTTTGTCAATTTTATTACAAGAGTCATTCTTGAATTTCGACATAACAGTTATTTAAATTGTCAATTTTTTAAAGAACCCTAATTTTTTGCATCTTTATTTACTCCGTTTATGAGAGTCTTAAATACATGCAATATGGTATTTTCTAGAAGTACCAGCTTAAATTGACTTAATGATTCAAAGAAATATTTGAAGATGTGCTTATCATAGTCATTAGGATTTTGAACTTTTTTAAGGTTTTTACATTAACTATTACTTGTCGTATGCTGTAAAATATGGAGTCAGCTTTTTAACACCTCATTAATTAATATAAAAATAAAGGAAATCAATAAATACTCATCAGTTCCCTTGGTCCCGTGACCCATCGTGTTGCCACTCATGAGCTGCATGTGATCTTTCTGGCAACATTCTAAACATTTTATATCCTATGAACGATTATCGCGGAACATAATATTTATCAATACAACTGTTTTCGGTAGTGAATTTCAAAGATAATAGATTTATACGACTTATAAATCAGATTAAACATCCGTACATAAATTTTAATAACTCAAGTTCGTCAGATGTGTCCATTAATTTTTACGTATGTTTTCAATTGCTATGTTATAACACTCATCGAATTAATAAAATATAAGATCATAATAGGACCTTTACTTGTCGTATTTATTTTTATTACACATATATCTAAAATTTATATTTAAGCGGCAACAAATAATTAAGAATGTTCAATAGTATAGTATGTTACTATTTCCACATTATATTTTTTATTTTTAATACGTTGTAATGTCATTCATTTATTTTATATAAAGTATCAGGTAATCTGTTGTATTAAGCCAAAAAAGATCTTGGAATGTTTTATGCTGACAACGATCAACTCTCAGCAAATTGCCCAAACACTTTGAAACAGACATTTTATAAGAGAAATTTATTTATTACTGTTATCATAACTTTAAAATTTATTTAAGTAAAAGCATTTTATTCACTTCGAAGTACTCTATGTCCAATTTTTATTTTTTTTTAAATCAAAAGACATGTAAATAGTTGTATCTAAGATATGTACGTCTTAATATAAACTTACGATTTTGATATGCTTTCAAAATAACAAAAATAATACAATTTGTTTTCTATATACTGATAATATGCAAACATTTTATTTTTAATAAATAAATGTTGTTTGTCTTAAATGTTGAATTAAATATGTTTGATATTAATATCTCCGAGTACTCTTGTACTATAATTGAAGTTATAAAATTTGATTAATTAATTCTGTATAGTAGATAATTTGTATAATTGTATTTTCAGAATTTGACCTTGCTACAAGTGGAGACTCAGCGCTTGAGAGACGAGAACTCAGCCCTTATCCGAGTCATAAGCAAGTTGTCAAAATGAGGCTCTCTTTCCATCGCAACATCTCCCGCCACGCGCCCCGCAGCAGAATGAAGCACGGCACAAGAACACAATATGTGCTACGCAGTCCTATTTTAACATGTAAATATTACCCCTTAGGTATTTATAATGTGTTTTTAGTTATAGTTTTATGAATATAATGCATGTTGAAGAATAATTTTAAAGTGAAAATTTATTGAGTGTTAAATGTTTAAAATTTTGTACAGTTGGCAATGGTGATTGGTTTTTATATCATGAATTATATTTTTTCTTGTTAAATGTAATTAAATCTTTGTATTCTTTTGTATCTATCTTATTTTTCTTTCATACTTTCTTATATGAATTTGTTTGTCCGTATCTTTTTTGAAGATGTGTACAAAAAAAATTAGGTAATCAATCGTTGCCATGATTGTCGCTATTTAGCATTGCCAAGTGTACATAGTTTGTGTTTTAAATTTAATATTATTGTACCCATGTCTTACACGTCTTAATATATTCCTAAAAGATTTTAGTTATAAATAGTTTAAGCATAACCTATAAGACATCACGAAAATAGTATTGGAAGTGTTGTTGAAACTATCTGTTATCAATTTTAATTTAATACAATGTAATTTACGGGCTTTTTAGCCATTTCAATTTATTAATTATTTACATGAAATATATTTGTTTTCTTTTATCTTTTATATATTTATATAAAAATGGTAACTTGGTAATTACCTCCGACTGATGAATAAATTAATTCGATTTTAAAAAGATTTAATGTAGGACGACCCTGGGATCAGAGTATAAACCAAGGCTCACCTTTATGTACGACCCTGGGTTCACAGCGTCAAATCAAGCATCACCTTTGTCTCAAACATCACAAATACTCACATTTTGTTATAGTGGTAAATTAAATGTTACTCAAATGTGATGTATACATTTTCCCCCTTTTTTACTTTTCTTTCTTTCTTTCTAAACTGTGTCTTTGTATTGTTATTATTGTTTTTTTTATTTTAGATGTTAGACGGTTCGGTTAAGCAAATTTCAACGTTTTAGAGTCGATATATTAGCGTTGTAAGATGTGTGATCGTTTTAATATTATTGTAGCAGATAGATATCCACCGTATTTTTTAATATTTTGAACGTTTGCGCACTGAAACAATGGTGCCTACATACCTGGCTGGGAAATTATGATTTTGGAAATTTTTTTTTAGATGTAAAATTGTATAATCTCAAATGTTATTGTAAATTTAATTTCATTCTGAATCTTTGTTTTTTAAAGACATGTTATTTAAAAGGAAATAATTAATAAGGTAATTCGAATTTTTAAATGTATAAATGTGAAATGTTTGATGAGTTTTTTTTTAAATTTATTTGTTTGTAAAATTTTATTTATTTCCAGAATTATAATATGGCCAAAATAAATTGATTGAATTGATTGATATGAATTTGTTTATTTTTCTTTTTTTCCTTTCATTTATTATATTTTTTTTTATTTATTACTTAAAATAATTGAATAAAATATTAAAAGTAGTACAGTTCAATATTATTTTATTATTACTTTTTTATTCTTATGAATTCTTTAGTTTATTACATTTTTTAATTTAATTTAATTTTAATTAAATTAAATTAAAAATTTTTTTTAATTCTGATTAAATATTTTTTTTTATTTATTACTTAAAATAATTGAATAAAATATTAAAAGTAGTACAGTTCAATATTATTTTATTATTACTTTTTTATTCTTATGAATTCTTTAGTTTATTACATTTTTTCTTATTTCTATTTGCCCGGCCTATAGATGATATCAGATGAGCTGACTTACATAATGTTTTTTGGTATAAATAATTAAACTTATTATATACTTCAATATTAACTAAATGTACTTAAAATTTTCACTTACGGCGTTTTCCGAAGTGCCTTAATTTATTCGACTTTTGTTCAGATATAAAATTGTAAAATGACTGGTTTCGTGCCTTTGTCTAATCGTATGTTTTGCAAACTGACTAACGATACGTCTTCCATGTACAGAATTTTGTACAGCAAACTGTGACCATAAAAGCTTAAATTTAGCGCTTATTCATATTACTATGAATAGTTTTCTTCCTAATTTCATTGTCGGCGTAAAGTGAAGTTCACAGGTAATAAACGTCCTCGTCTGTGCAATATATGCAGCGACGCGAGTCAGTCAAGTTTATTTAAATCCAATTGTTTAAATAATATTTACATCTATCTACATTGGTAAATTAATTTTTTACAATGATATTATATGTAAGCACAAAAAATGAACTAAAAGGTAGCATAACCTGGCCTTAGAGAAATACTGGATCAATAAACAGTGTCTTAATACACCAGGGAAAGATTAATTGACCAACGGGTGAATTATTTCATCGTCTGACGAATTGATAAAGTGGACACGAACAAAACAAAGTACAGTAATTAGCCGTAATATTTAGTTACTATCAAAACTCAGAATACTTCGTATGGCCATAATAATGGTATAGTGCAAGCAAAAACTTTAACTACAGCTAAAAAATGTTTTCATGTCTGAAAACTTTATTGCCGTACTGAGAACATCCTACTAAAGTTTCATCATAAGTCCAGCGCTTTGAAAACGCATAAAGGACGAAATTAATCTTGTTAAGTTTGTTTGACATATTTCGCATATTTTGAATGTATGAGATTTGTGTGTATGTATTTAGTATTGCGTATTTTGTATATCTCTATACCTATATATTAATAAAATAGGAGTGTCTGTATGTAACATTGACTAAAATTTACGTAAACATTTACGTATTTGTAGATGATAACGAATAACCAATTTTTAAAATTTACCTATATGTGTTCGTAAGATCTTGTTTCTCATAGGTAATCTATGAAACGGCTGAATTGATTTTAACTAGTCTTTGACGAGAAGGTAGCTGATACACGCGATTTTCCAAATAAGATATGACCTAAAGGTCTATGTTACCAGGTCATAAAATTAAAAAAAAAATGATACACCCGGACATATATGTATAAATTATGTAAACATGACTCAGCGTTACTGTCACTTTTGTATATAAGATCCTTGTTCAAATTAATAACATTAAATATTTGAGGATTTATCATGTAATGATGTGAGGGGTCGATTCATCAATTTTAGAATCTTTAAAAGTATTTTTTAATATTCATCGCAACCATGCTTTCCCAAATACTCTGACTTATCTTAGACTTATATCGTGCGTCCTATGACTGTCTTTCCAAAGAAAATCATACGAATGACGATGTTTTATTCAAATGTTACTTCACTGAAAACTGAACGTAAATACAAACAATATAGGTAATTGAAATTGTATCTATTTTACTTATGTATGTACATAAAGATGTGTTCAAGGAATTGTGTATTACAATAAAATATGCTTATATATTAGCTTAGTTAAAAAAATCTATACAAGTATCCCAAAATGTTTATGTAATGGATGTAATTTTTGTCTATATAATCTACAATTTATAGTCGTCCAATTATTGTAGGTACTTTGATAACATTGAAATGTTTGTTAACTGTTAAAAATATTATTAGCCTATGACTGTGGCTTTCATCTAATTATATATTGTTGTCTCTGTTTTGTCAAAGAGAAAGAAAGAGATGTAGATATGTATTAAAACATGGCGTGACTGCAATGGAGTTCTGTAGTTAGAATTGAAACTTATTATCTGTCATTTTTAATAGTACGGTGTCTGTAACTTTTATATTTATTGTAAAATCTTTTTAATGCTATCGTGTTATTTATCCTAATGGAACGATAGAACTCTAGTGAATTTATTATGTGTGATTTATTGGTAATAAAGTTTCAATATATGTTGTATACGTTTATTTAACGAACGTTTATAATAAAATTAATATAGGTACAAGTTTATAAAAAGTAACAAAATATATTTCAGATGCTTATCAAACAGTGTTAAAGTTTGTATAGCTCTTAAACTATGTATTAACACTCAAAACAAAAACTTATATACTAAATTAGTATGAAATCTATCTACAAAATTGCTTATCTGCATTTCAACTGTAGTGAAACTTTGACACATATTGCCTCTTTTTTTCAAAGGAGAGAAAGAGACAACTATATGTTTCAAAACATCACTCCAGAAACTGACAGTAAGAAGGATAACTAAAAAAAGGCATGAAGTTTATTAGAAGAAATATCTTATTTAGTACTTACATATGTTTATTATTGTAAGCAAATACTACAATGAACTTTTAAAAACTATCTCGAAATAGAATACAGAGTATGTAAACCGTATAACAATTTTCTTATTTTTCAAACAAACACCTTTCTTCCATTTATCCAATAATAAGCTAACCTAATTATTTACAATTTCTTTTCAAAAGGGGAAACTGCCAATTTTGCCGTCACTTTGAGAGTAGAATTAGAATTATAGATATTTAATTCTTAACAAATATTATATTAAAAAGCACTATTACTTTATGTTGGTATATTTTCCTCTTATTAATTTTAATAGTATGAAATAAATTCAAATTTAATTTACAATATTTATCGCTGCACTATTAATATAATATATTGATTATAGTAAATATTTTATACTTATACATTATAAAGGCAATAAGTGTAATCAAGGCAAAAAAAACAAAACTTAAATTTTAATTTTTACTTTATCTGAAAAATCCGAATTTATCATTCCAATTTTTTTAAATCACTAAACAATATAGTTACAATCATAAACTAATATATAAATATTATTTATTATTTTACTTCACACAATTCCAACTCATTTACATCTTTGGTTAAATACCTAGTAAGGGTTGGTGATTACCAAAACTTTATATTTTACAATCATCGACACCTGCCAGTAAATATTTCTCATAATAAATAACAATATTAAAATTCATTCAACATTTTCGTTTATCACATTATTGGTACTTTAAATTGTTTGAACAGAACGAAATAAACGGAAAGCCCTAAAAGATGATTTAAAAATAATTGTGTTAAATAATTTATCAGAAATATAATCGCCATTTAATTATTTAAATATTCTATTATGCATCTAATCACTTAAAATTTCGACACAAGTGAAAAGGTCCTTCGAGTCGGACATCATTTTTCTTACAATTACACTACTTGGCAAAGTTTTATGTGTTATTTGTACCGGGTATTATGTATGTATTAACGCACCGCGACTCCGTTTATCGTGACCACTGCATTGGGTCCCGTGGGTTCGGGTTCGTACGCGGAATCAGTGTCGCTGCGGCGGCCGTAAGCGATGTTATCAGCTACTCGCTCGCTATACGGCGAATCGTATACATTGTCCGTCACGTGATCGTAGATGTGTCGTCCGTTCGTGTCATGAAGAGTAGCATAGCTCATTACCGCCGCGTTTTGGTCTTCTTTTCTCTCCGCACCTTCGATATTCTCTGTATTCTTCACCGGCATTGCTTTTCGACTGTGAAAAATGATATATATAATTTTTTGAAAGAAACAAAAATATGTATTGGTATTAAACAGATGGCTCCTTTACGTTTATGATAGAGTTAACTATCTGTCTCTTTAGCTTCAATTTATTAACAATGAAATAAATATATGAAAGCAATACTTACAGTCGTAAATAAATAAGAGCGAGCAGCATAAGTAAAAACAGTACGATGCCGCAGCCGACGCCTACGCTCAGCGGTAGAGCGCCGCTATCCGCCGCCTCGTTGGTCGCTAGTTCACAGCTGGGCTCATCGCCCGACCACTTGCCGTCGTCCAAGCACTTCCGTAGGAATGGCCCTACACGTTGATACTGCGGCATGCAGTGGTATTCGATAGAACTGCCGAATAGGGTCGAACTGTTCGATATTATGATGCGACCATTGTCAATCGTTCCCGGTGACTTGCAGTCAATTGCTGTAATATTAATAACAAATGTTATAATAATTAATTATAAAAACATTTTAAACAATAATTACGACATAAAAATCAATTTTATTTAATACTTTAACAACACCAGTTACTGATGGCCTTACTGTCATCGACTTAATATATCTATATGAGATTTGTTTGTATACTTTACGCCCGATAGCTACACAATTTTTAATAAAAAAATTGCTGACGACGATACGAAAACGTTCTCACGAATATTCGTGCAAGGCCCTCTGTACTATTGTAGCAAGTCAAGCTCACATAAATACATACAAATTGTAAATAATAATTTAGGATAATTTGGGATTGACATCGCGAACCACGAACTTCAAAATACAATTGTACAAATCTACTCACGTATACAGACTGGTGGTGATCCATTCCACACTCCTCTTGGCATGCACATCCTGGTCTGGTTACCGCGGAGGCTATAGCCTCGCTCGCAGCGATAGTGAGCCTCGCTGCCAATACTGAGCGAGGATGTAACCACAACAAGTCCGATGCTGCCTTTAATCTGGATCGATGGGTCTGTGCACGTTATTTCTGAAAACAAATATAAACATATTGATATAACACACACACACAACTTGTTCATTAATCCTGGATAAGGGGATGAGGCTCTTCGTCTTTTCATTGTGCTTGCCAATCAGCCTCTTTAGATAACATTTCTAAGACTAAACTAACAAATATGTTGTACGATATTTAGGCTAGATAAATCGAATACTGCGTTTAAAATCAATTACCTTTGCATATTGGTGGTTCGGAACTCCACGTTCCGTTGTCTTGGCACAATCGTCTCGAAACACCATCAAGCTGCCAATGTTCATCGCATTCGTATAGAGCTGCAGCCCCGTAATATGTGGCATTGGTCGCCAGTGTCACTATACCATTCTGCAGTCTGCCAGGATTGCCACAGTCCACATCTGGAAAATTAATCAAAAATATGATTAGTCAAAACTAAAGCCTATTCTAACATAACTTTATTTTAGTCATTCCTAATTAATCTAACTAATATACATGCGAACGTCTAGATGGATGGATGGATGAATGTTTGAAGGTATCTCCAGAACGGCTGAATAGATCTCGCTGAAATTTGGCATAGATGTAGAACGTAATCTGGAAGATCACTTAGGCTACTAATCTAGTTTTTTTTGTTGTTGTGGTTTATAAAATAATATTCTCTACTTACATTGACAACGAGGTGTGACCCCACTCCATTGACCATTATCCTCGCAGGTAGACAGGCTTTCGCCGATGACTTTGTATCCTCTTTCGCAACGGTATTTGACGAGCGCACCAATACGGTACGTATTGCCTGCATTGGTGGTACCTACTGTGCGGATGAGTGTACGTCCATGCATGCGGTCATTGCCTGTCACAGATACTATGCTGTTCTCTGCTACTACTGGCTCTGGACAACGGATTTCTGGAAAAGAATAAATTATAATTTTAAATAAAAATATGAGGCAAATGGATAGTTTTATTGTATTAACCGTACATGTAAATTGTTACATTTTATTAATCTATCTCAGATTTAGTCCGAATTTACTGGTAGAATTTTTGACACTTCGCTTTAAGTCATATAATTTAAATTTGTACACACAAACACAAATCTGTGCGTATTAACCACTTATTGAGTGGTTTTCAATGACTTATCTGGTTTGTAATTATTAGGGTAGAACTTATAACAAGTATAGAATGATTCATACCTTCACATCTGGGCGATGAGTCACTCCACTGATGATCTTCTGTGCAGATTCTTCGCACGGGCCCTACTAGACGGTAGTTAGTAGTACACGAGTACTGTATAATGCTGCCTAAATGTGTGGTGCCGTTCAGTAGCTCCGCAGATCCATATGGCAGTGGTGGTAGCTTTCCACAATCCACATCTATAACAAAATACACATTTATAGAAGTTTTATTCCTCATGTTACCTTTGATGCGTAAATTAAGCAAAACTTTTTATTGGCATATTATCAAAGCTTCCTTTCTTTAGTATTTACGTGTGGCACTACAAAGAAATATTTTGGTAAATAGAATGACTATTACAATTAATAATCGAGTTAAAACTTTCGTGTAAAGCATTTCACTTTATATATAATTATTCATATTACTTTTACTATAACAACTTAAACAGTAAGGCGTAAATTTGACTGTGCGCATTATGTTTTATTTTAGAAAAGTAATAAAACCAGTAGATGCTATAATCATGATATAGAGAGATGACGATGAGGATACATATTCTTATTTTTGTAAGTTCCAGATTTAAATTAATTTAATGCAAAGCATAAATGTCTTAATCATAATAATAATAACATTGAACTTACACTCGCATTTCGGGGATTCCCCGGACCATTCGCCGTCTTGTTGGCAAAACAAACTTGATTCACCAACCAGCTTGTGACCATGCTCGCAATGGAAATCGATACTCGAATGTACGTTGTAGTCGTAAGCTTCCATGTAACCCCCCGCGGGGACTTCTGGATCAGCGCAGGTAATCACTAAAATATATAAAAAGTCTGGCTTAATTATTTACGTTAAAACATAATTTTATATTTGTTTTTTTTTTAAGTACGTTCGGCGAGGATATGTAGCTTATAAGTAAATGAGATAGCTTTTCCTTCAGTGATCACTAAACATCTCCGAGAAATTAAAGTAGCTAATCAAATGTTCTTATTGTTCTCTATATGTGACTATTAAGTATGTTGTGTAGAAATTCGTAGGTAACAAACATACTAACATAGTAAAGTAGATTGCTATAATATTAAGTGTGTTTTGATGTTACCTATTTTATGAGATATTTCACGGGTATAATTTACCTTCCTTGTTTTATTGTACACCTCGATCTAAAGAGTTTTATTTTTAGGAGCGGACCGGCTACCGGGAAGTCGGTTTTAATTAGAGCTTCCGCTGCTTACAGGAGCTCGTGCTAATTACAATCTACTTTTCACAGAAGTATTAATTACACCGGAGTCTGATAAATGTATTCCACTAGATTCGAATGTAATATAAATGTTTAAATGCATTTTTATGATTCGAAATACTCACGATCACATGTTGGTATGTCATGGGACCATTTTCCATCCCTGTTGCATGTAAGGTACTCAGTTCCTGATAACCAGTAGTCGGCTTCACAATTAAACTGCGCTATAGAGCCATATGTCGTTGTGCCGTTTAGCAGTCTAAAGGAACCCTTGTACAATTGAGCAGGTGTTCCGCAGTCTACATACTTGCAGGAAGGTGGTGTACCAGCCCAAATACCGCCAAGCTTACAAGTTACACTCTGCAAAAGTAATTATAGGTATAAATAAACTGCGCTTAAGTAAATACATTACGGGATTAAAAACTTTATACAAGTTTCTTTGAAATAAAAATAAAGGGAAAATTGTTGAAACCTAGACTAGGGTTTTGTAAAGAGCGCTTTGAGTTTATCCAAGATAATTAAACCGATTTCGATTACTGAATCTAACTTTGTGAGATCGCTTCAAATGAAATCAACAACAATCCAATCTATTTAATGTTTAAGTACAATCGAATACTGATTCTATTTCTCAAAAATAAACAAAGGATTAAACTAATATCCATTAATGTAACCATTGTTCACTGTAGGCCTTTACTTAACTTAAGGCGAACCATTTTTCGACCAAATCAGCTCTTGACGTAAGATGGTATCGTGGTTGAGTGCTAGTTAATACATTAATAAAAAACTACTTACAGGTGTACCAAACAGTATGAATCCATTTTGGCAAGTGTAGGTTGCCAAAGAGCCGGCTTTGTGCCCACTAACTGCTACAGTCGCGCCAGCCACCGGCGGCGGTTCAGGGCACCAGTCGAACAGACATTTGGGCGCTTGCCCACTCCATACACCCTCATCGCTACATTCCCTCGACGGCTCACCGACGAGTGTGTGGTTCTCTTTGCAAGTGTACGTCGCCCTCGCGCCGTGTGTAGTGCGTCCGTCAATTAAAGACACGTCACCATCTTGGATCGGGGTAAGACCGCCACAGTCGACATCTTGAAATAACAATTTCATACTTAGACACTTTTACCAAATATAATGCAAATATAATTATAAAGTAAAGTTCGAATCCTGCCATGTACCAATGTGTTTTTCGATTTCCGATTTACATATATACATTTATCCGACGTTCTTACGGTGAAGGAAAACATCGTGATGCAACCTGCACATATCTGAGAAGAAATTCAAAGATATGTGTGAAGTCAACCAACCCGCACTCGGCCAGCGTGGTTGACTATGGGCTAATCACCCTTAACTTAGGGTAGGCTCCGAGCCCCTCGGTGGGGACATATAGTGAGCTGATGATGATGATGATGATGATGAATTATAAAGTAAACACTCGAGATTTATATTAGTTATTAAGACGGCATTTCCTTAACAGCGGCACTCATAGTAGTTAAGTGTATTAGTAAATATAGCCTTAAGGCCTCCAGTAGTGACCAATTAACTCTAAGTGCGGCGGTGAGTAACTAAGATGCTTCAGGTATAACAACTGTATAAAAACTATTACTTACATTTACAACTCGGCGCTGTACCGGACCAGAAGCCGTCTTCTTTGCACTCTCTAGTTTTGTCTCCGAGCAACATGTGACCTTCAGGACATCTGTAGGCTATAGATGCTCCCACCAGGTAGCTGTTTCCTTCAATTGTTGTATTCAACAGTTTGTCTGGACTGCCACAAGATGGCGGCACTGGAGAAATAAAATTAAAATCTTTACGTCTGTTTTTGTAAAAAAAATATTACATCGCTAATCATTTATTCACAGAAAAAAATTGCTATACTTTCCATAAAATACCAATTTAATAGAAATATTTTTTATAAAATGGTTCAGTGCTTGCGTATAATTTTAGATTTCAGCAAAATAATTAAATAATCATTCGCAAAGGAGTACTCAGTCGCTAGGCGTTGGATGTGCTGTCATTATCGATCATAGTCAGTGAACAGCCAGCCAGCATTAAAAGCTACCGTTCTTCCATTACCATCAGCGAATACTTTTTGTCATCCATTCGTTACTTTTTGTCTATCACACCGTAAGTAAAACACATGGCAGCTTTCATAAACAAAAATGTAATAAATATAATTCGCAACGAAATATCAATAAAAATAAGTGAAAAAACTTATTACAAAAAAATAAACTTAATTTATAACTAGCTGTCATCCGTGAACTCTCTCCGCGCGTAATTAAAAAATCAAAATTAGCAGCTTATGTCTTCTTTCAGACTATGTTTTGTGTATGATCTAGATTTCATCGAGATATGTTCAATCGTTCTGGAGATACCTTGAAACAAACATCCATCCATCCATCTACACATTCGCATTTATAATATTAGTAATATATTAAAGATAAAGTCTTGTGCAATGACCTTGTGTCTGAGATAAGGCAAGCAAAAAGATGAATCTATTTTTTACTAATACTAAAAGAAAGTAATAACTAACAATGACACTGCAAGCAATTGCTATAGCGGTTGCGCGAACATATTGGAGAAATACCAAGACCTCATAAAAGACAGGCCTGGATTATTGGAAGCCATTTCCTATTTTAACTTAGTCACATAAAGTTAGGACCGAAACGTATAATATATTCCTTTGAAGGACGCTTTCTGTGAACTGTAGTCCTTGACGTCAGATGCAATGCTACCTTGTTATTTATAATAAGTATGAAATACAAAGGAAAACATAAAAATGACAAACAAATATTCAACGTAGTGATACATTTCGCCAAGTTTCTTGAAAATGTAAAGAAAACTTTGTATGCATATACAAATCCTGTTAATACAACAATACACAACAACACAAACATTTCAAAGAGTGTATCATTTTTACTCGCAGAAAGTAAATACGATCTTTATTAAAAGTATTTTCTTTGTTAGTTTTTTTATTAATGGTTACTTATGAAACGTTAATTTCCACTGCTAAAATATTTTTATAACCACATTGTTATCTCCATTATTCTAAGTAGAATGAGAGGGATAATATATGCATTGGAAACCATGTTTATACAATAATGTCGCGTCGCATCTCGCAGCGCATCAGAATAAAGTATAGATATGTACCTATGAAGGTGACACTCACGGTACTGGCAGATCCAGTGGAGATAGTCGAGGTTACAACCGACGTCGTTCCACAGCCACGCCCGGCCACCGTCCAGCACCACGCAGTTCTGTTCACCATTGTAGTTGTTCGGCTGGTCTTTGCCCCAAGTCGGTTTCGAAACCAATTCACCTACATAACATAATATCGATTAAACACATTAGAGATTTTTTTGTTAATTAAATTTTTTAGAAACAAGTGAAAACTAAACACGTTATGATTAACGAAAAACTATAACACTATGAATACTTGTAACTGATGTATGCCCAAGATATATGCAACTTCGCGTTACTTTAATTTTACCCGTATGAGTACTTAACCAATGCATTCTCTATAAACATTTTTACGGCAGGAGGTAAACATATCACTTATCTCCTATCTTCTTTAAACCTTTATATTTTTTAATTAATGTTTTATTAAAAAAAATATACTAAGTTATTAAATGTCTTTTCAGTTTGCTCAGTTCTGCTTTGAGCATTTAAAGTTTCCGTTGAATAAACTGCGATGTCAATTTAGTACTTTACAGTGAATAAAGTTAACGTTTGAGTTTAAATACTTACATCAAAGGAAGAAAATACTGCACCGAGTAACTGTTTCTACTTTATTTTAATAGTAGCCCTTGACGCAAAAGACATTTATTTAGTTAGGATTTTTTTCCTGTCCAAGACGGCGTAAAACATTGGAAGAGACCGTGTCAAGGATATACTTTATATTGCTACAGCTAGAATGCACTAGAGTAGCATAATACAATATTATATTTAACTATGTTACACGATGTTCAATATTAAGTGAGAAGTGAATTTTATAACTCTATAGGTACAAACAATTGCAATACTGAACTGTTTACTGCTCTGCATCAATGTTCTACTCTCGTACGAAATAGCATTAAAGTTATAATAATTACCATCAACCCATCTCCATGTTCTCGAAGTGAGACCAGGTTCCTTCTGAGCTCCTATCCAGACTAGTTGCGTCTTCAGCTGTGCCTTGCGTCGTTCCAGTTCTTGTATTAAGTAACTAGAGGTTGCTCCCTAAAAAACATGATTTATTTTATTTAAATTAGAAATCAAGTGACAACCTTAACGTCACGATGAGGTGTAGAATAGGAAATATAACAAATTCTATTATAAATAGTTTAGTATACGATATTTTTTCCACAGGTTTCGAAAATTTACATCTCCATGGGTACGAAGTGTCTTATAAATTCGCTTACATTGTTTTGATCCCATGTCAAACATATATTAATATGTTAATGGGGAATGAATGTCACTTACTAGTTCTATATAAATATACTCAGTGTGAACTCAGGGATGATCTATATTTACATATGTACGTGACTTACTTAGGCGAATTATCTATAATTAGCTATAATTCGCCTAAGTACGTCACGTCGTATACAATTATCGGATTGCTTAGGTCACGTAATGGTCAGTACGCTTTTGGATTAACAAACATTAATTAGCATTGTTAAGTTGTCCACAACTTTTCTGCTATTATTTTAGAGATTTACAAATGTACAATGGTCTTGTCTCCTTCAATTGAATAAACTGTGGTAGTTATTTTAGTGACTTCCAACTCTTAGCTACAGTCCACGTTTAAGCTTCTTACGACTACGAGTACTAGTTCGAATGGGAACTTTAGGAGGCTTATATGCAAAGAGGCTTTCCATCCATTCATTAAAATTACATCTGTTAGTAAGCTACCTGTTCGAGAGCATAATAATAGCTACAATCGAATGAAATAAAATTGCTACTATATGTTAAAAGAAATTTACTTAAAGGATTTCATTAAAATGTCCCATTGATTTGTAATAAAATATAATACTAGCATTTTTAAGATGTTTAAATGAAAATGTATATCAATTACAACATACCTAATATAATATTACAATAGATGTAATGTCATAGTGACGTAGGATCTAATCATAAAAAAATGCAATCATAAAATACACGAAGACTCAAATCTAATAAACAGTGTTTACAGAAATGGTTGAACAGATCGGAAATGGAAACCTCGGTACTCGAAGCGTTTGCAGTTATGCTTTGCAAAACCAACTATTCATTTGAACTGTATTTAATTTAATAAATTTCCGATCAGTGGGGAAAGTCAAAGGCGCACTTATATTAATTTGATTAGTTAGTAACTAATTCAGGAAGTGCATGGTTGAATCAGTTTCATGTAGATCTTTCAAGTCTGTGTTACGAACTGTTGATATTTGAAATTGATAGTAACAGAACATTGAAGTCAGTTCATGTCGCCCGGACTTGATACGATCGATGTTCAATGGGAAAAGTGTTTGTATTATAATTACATGTTTAAATATTGTTAGTCATAATTATTTGATACTTCGAGCCATCAAAATATATAGATTTTTTATCACCAGTCTTTTGTTAATTAACTAATATTTTTTGCACCATGCAAAGTAAACTCTAGGCTTGCGATAAGATATGGTTTACGACAATAGTAGAATGGTGGGATTCGAACCCTCGACCACTTGATCGGAAATTTGTACCCTTAACCATTAAGCACCTTAATTGGCACACTAAATTCAGATAAGTTGATTTCTTACCTGAAAGCCATGTATGAGGTCACCGCCGTGCGATTGGCACTGCTTGCGTGCATCGTCGAAGGAGGCTCCTTTGGCTACGTTGAACTCGTAGCAGTTTCGTGAAAAAGCTGCAAGTTCTATGTCAGCGGAAGCACCAGCCGGTGCACATCGATCGTTGGAAAATTCTTAAAAAAAAAAAACAATGATGAATAAGCTATCGTCTGCTTTTTTCTCGTGTAAAATAAATTACATATACGTCCATGATAATATAAGACTGTTATTGCATTATTTAATTTTGATATTGATTTATTTTTGAATGTGAATAATACAAGTAACTTTAACCTTATAGAAAATTTAGTTACACTATCGCTAAAATGGTCACTACGAACATTAATGTGCGCTAAAAGTTTCCTCTTGCCCGAGCTAAGTTTATTAGACAACTGCATTAAATATTTACAGTGCATTTACAGGGAGCGTTATTAAATCTCTGTTCAGAAGCGGAAATTATTCACGGTATCGGCTAAGTTTATTATGTCTCAATATTGTCGCATGTTCTACTTTAATGTGCATCTTAATTTATTAGTTTAGAGCAAAGTTTTGCTGAACCATGTCCTTGCAACTGTACATTGTACTCGTATTTTATATCATATCTATAATATGTAGAAAAAAATGCCCGAAATATAGTTAATTTTAATCATTTTAGGCAATTTTAAATACAGTAAGACATTTTCAGTGAAATATTTATTTCATTTTATCGGTCTTAAATGTCCTTAATGTCCAGCATTTTATTCATTTACATACTTTCTAGTACTTTTTATTTTAACCCTAATGTATTTTCACCTGTAAAAATAATATAGGACAATGTTTAAGTTTTAACATGTAAATTTAAATTAGAGTTTGTAAAGACCTAAAGGCTCTGGTACCGTGAGGGGGGAACGAGAGGGTGGCATAGCGCTGCCCATAAAAAGTCTTCTATGTAAGTATTATATAAACAAAATTCAGGAAAGTTAGGCTGTTTTTAGAACTCGAGATATTCTGCAGCAAAAATTTTTAAAATAACCACCTTCTATTTGATGTCGACTAAAAATAAAAAATGAAACTGGTTTAATCAAACTTTTTCCTCATACACACAGTTACAAATATATTACTTGGTATTTTGACTTTATTATTGCAAAGCACAAAGGTTTCATTTAATATTTAACATTAGCTAAAAACAGAGAGTTAAACAAGCATCATAATACATTTGAGAATTTAACAATTTTAGAATAACAAATAGAAATGTTTCGCGGAAAATTTCCACACAAAGTGTAAACGGGATTAATTAGTGGAGAGCGAAGGTTGACTTGCGTTACGGTACACAGATTACGGGCTCATTAAAATAGACGTTACTAACTTACAAGCGAGTATTTAACAAGCAGATAGAATATTGTCACATACATGCACTTGTGACTTCATTAAAAGTTTGTAAACTCGAGTAGTGCACGAGCGTCTACTTCCTGAAGGTCAAAAGGTAGCGTTAGAAAATTAAGGCGGAAATACTATTGAATTATTTTATTACATCAAATATGTTCTATATATTAGTACGTGTAGGATACATTTTCACCCATTTGTAAGGATGTTGATTGAACAGATGAATGTAAAACACAGTTAGATTTAATAAATAAGAATTTATTTTGTATATAAGAAATGTATAAAACTATTCCTATACATAATTATTATATTGAAATAATATTTTTAATCAGATTTAATGGTGCAATTAATAAAAAAAGAATTTACAGTGGGTAGTTCCATATTCAGATAAATCCAATTCAATTATTGGTATTTATCAAAACAGTCAATTACATTCGACAAATGGAGCAACGTAATTAATCCTGGCTTATTGGAATTAAAATAGCTTCGGCGAACTGCGAAAAGCCAAATTTATTTATAAATGTACGGGTTGTTGTTTGTAAAAAGTAAATCCTTACTTTGTATAAACAACGAAAATATGTTAATGAATTTAGAAAAAAACGTAACAGTGAAAAACAATACCCTCTTGCCTGGAGGGTAAAAAGACTTTTAAAACATTAGTTCTTAATTAGAAAAAAAATTTTGAAAGACGAATTCTATGTCACTCCGGGGAGGAATACGATCCGAATGACACTTCATTCGTTAAAAAAAGGCGTTTAGGGTAGAAGCGGTCATATCAGCTGTGACAGACTTATATACATACACATGTATCCACATATATACATATATATTCCATTAGTCTGTCGGGTAATTACAAATATTGACAAAATATATAAACAATTGAAGTGTGTGTTATTTGTAAGTGGCAGTAAGTAAAAGTAAGACCTTTATTTATTAATGGACATTTGAGTCCCAGAACGCAAAGGAAGTTTGTACACGTGTTGTCAGTATCTAAGCGTGAGTTTTCAATACCAAAAATGTGTACAAAAACATATTGTTATCCCTTTCGTTCGCTTTGATAGAACAAAGATAACAATATAAAGATTTAAGGTATTTCACACGGTACGTTGAAACTCACGATACATTTGCCTATACGATTGTGTATTGGATACAAGAGTAATGCCACTGCACTCTAGACATGTTCCGATCTCATTTAGCATGCATTACATGAGAATAGGGAATGTGTAGTTGAAAGGGCGTGGGCTTGTGCACCAAAATATATTTGCAACAATGTGAATAATACATACGATGAGAAACGTAATTTTCAGGAGCAATTGTCTGGCAGCCTGATTGCTAATATAAATTTTGCGTTAAACAAGACAAATCTTATTGCAACAGGTTTTCTTCGTTCGAGAAACCGGAATAGCACTGTACTACTTTAGAGTAATTAATTTTCCCTTGAACATATTATTATGAGTTTGAAATAATAAAAAAAAACTAAAGACGAAGACAATGGAATAAGCGTTTCGCAATTGAATTTTTTCTACACCATGCTATGTCCGTTTAACAATAGGTGAAGTGAACCTATTCACAGCGGGATTTTACCTTCTGTTGTAAAGACTTCGACTTCGCAGAGAGACAGAGAACCTTCGACTCCGACTAGTTGTAGAAACACATGTTGGCCGATTAGTGGTCGGGCACATGTGAAAGTTTTTGTCACTCCTTCATCTGTAACAAAATATTGTCTTTAGACATAATGCAGGACAGGCAATAAAGAAATCTTTTTTTTTACTACAGTTTACTTTTTAAGAGCTTCATTCTTAACATCACTTAGATTAACGTATGTGATACTTCGATTTTGGTTACTATTTAAAGGAAATTGAAAATACTTAAATATATCTGTACATATTTTAAATTGAGGTATCTTTAGGGTCGTCAGAACAAAGAACGAGATTTATTCAAAGTAAATTATTTATTAGTTGTTTTTACTATGGCTCTCATGGTAAGTTAAATGACGTAAGTTTTTTTTAAATTGTTTGTAATATCATTAATGCTCTATCATTTTAACATGCGCTAGTAATCTTAGTTATTGCCGCTGTGTTGATGACTAGGAAGGACGCCATCCGTCTTTGCGTTCAGAAGCTGAAACACATTTTCTTTTCATTTCCGGTAAAGGATGTCAGCATACGTATGCATCGTATATTAGAAAATATTTAATTAATTTTGTTTGATCTTTAATTACCATAATTAAAGGTAGCTTTACATAAAACATATATACCACTTATAATATATAACGTATAAATCGGAATATTTTTTAATAAAAAACGGCGATTTAATTCGAATGCTTGGCCAACGTTTGAGGTTTTGTAAAGGAAATTAGTTCATTGAAGATGTCGTGTTTTAAAAGTCATGCCAACGCTTCCGGGTAGGCTGAATTTGATTTAATAAAAAATCCAAATTGTAAATAGTTAATGTGAAAATGTTACAATATAATCTGGACAACATTGTAAGTAAATAACAGGGTTGTTTTAATATAATATATAGTTTTGTTTAATTTGTGCTGTTCGGAGACGTTCACTTTAACTTTTTCCGGATTTCATTTATTCGTTAGAGGCACAAAGAGCGTTGCTTTTCGAATCAAAATGTGATTTTCCAACGCGCTTGATCGTGAAATTCCTTTGACTTTAAAAAAGTATCAAAGCGTAAAATGACAAAGGCCCATGCACGAATTTATTGGAAACGTACTGCACAACGTAGCTTCAGTTCACCGAGTAACTACGACAAAGGGTACAAAGCTAATGAAATATTAAAATGGATATTTTTACAAGAAATGTAATATTATTGTTAACCTCATTTATTTTATGTTTACTTTCCTTACAGGAAAAAATCTTACGTTAAAAAAATCGCGACTAAACTGATAAAATTTTATGTCTTCATAAGTTCTTTCCATAGATATTTTATTATATTATCTTTAAGTAAAATTTTACATAATTTACTAATCTAATTATTTTGCTGTCTGTATTTCTTTAAGCCAAGAATTTTAAACTTACGTTGATGTCGAGGTGTATTTCCAAGTTAATCTCAATCTTTGCGAACTACACTGTAAATTGAATTAAACTAGAGATTATGAAATTTTGCGAAGCGTGCAAAGTTAGCAGCATCGATACTAACTACCTTACCTACAGGCTAACGTTCAAAATAACATTAAATAATTTATTAAAATGTGAAGTAATATTCCGAACGTTTTAAAAATAAATCTTACAATATTTATTTTCCTCATCGGATGACGTATTTGAATGTGTCTATTAGAATATATTTATTTGTTTTACATTAGTTACCTTTAATTATCTACGACTTGCAACTTAAAGTATCACAATAATGACGTGGTTTTGTGATTGGAAATATACGGTTCGAAAGCAGACGTCGGTAAAATTGCAATCAACCGTACGCCAACCGATGGGAGCAATCGACGTCTACCGACCACTTCAAGCAATCTGCGCGCAGCCATCCTAAGTTTAAATGTATATGTCATCCGCAAAATCGCAATCATTTGGTGCTGTGGTCGTAGCTCGTGATTAGGTAGTCATGTAGGTCTATTTCCGGCAAATGGAATGTTGACGAACTTTAGAACAAAGGTAAAAGACAGAGAGATGATTATGTGGTCTGTATTCAATTCGTCAAATTTTCATGTAGTGAATTATGATGTTTGATTTTAATAAATTCGAGTAACCGGATAAATTGACTTTTTTATTCTGATTATACTCGTTCACTTCATTTTAACAAATCATATTAAGTGTTACTAGCTGTCGCCCGCGACTTTGTTTACACGGATTGAAAAAAATCTAGTAATAATGAAAATATATTGATACTGAGTGAAAATATAATTTTCTTATGAAAAAAAAAATGAAATCAACGAAGTAGTTTTTGAGTTTATTCGGTTATATATAAAAAAAACAAATATTTTCTCTTAATATCAGTGTAGATTAACACTATGATGGTGATATCACTATTCGTAAATAAGATTTTGTGAATAGTTTATTATACTTTCTTGAATGACAGTAGAACAACAGGCTCTTTGTTGTCAAATGCTGAGATAATGTTATTGAAAGCAATAGCCATTAGCTTCATTATGGTCCAGTCAATGTCGCTTTCCATCAAGACGCTGGTCTTAGACGAGAGATATCAAGTTGCATGTTTAGTAATAATTTGCTATTGCATAGACAACTTCTATACATCTCTTTAACTTTAAACAACTATTCATTATGAAACTAATCAATACGAAATCTCAAACATTTTTACTGTTTCACATTTTTAATTAACCTTTTCAATCTACTTTACTTCAATTTAACTAATCTACAATAGATCACGTTTTTCATTCTCCATTGCTATAGAAAACGAAAAGATCTGATCTTTTGTCTTAATAGTTAAGTCTAAATAATAGCGAATAGTTTTTGTTCTTCGTTTGGTACAAAATAATTGAAATAAAATTACGTATCCATTTCGAGGACCGATTGATTTTATCCTTTAGTTTATTTTTTATTTTTTTTGTAACGTAACTGAGTAAAATCAAGTTAATTAAGAAGTATAATTTAAAAAGCGCCAGTAGCCTAATGGTTAAGAGTATGGATATCCGATCGTGAGGTCGGCGGTTCGAATCCTGTCATTCGACTATTGCACAAGGCTAGAGCATAGTTGGAATGGTACAAGAAAAATTAGTAAATTTACAAAAATCTGCTAAAATTAAAAAAAAAAAGAAAATAGTTAGCTGAATGTTAGGTAAAAATCTAGAAGGAAAATTAAACTAGGAACTTGATCCTGGTACATTTAGAAGATCTGCATACTTATTCATAGTTCAATGTTAGTGCAAGAAATCTAACAGGGAAGTTTTAACGATGTAGAAGTTTCCGCTAACGTATCCTGATCATTTTGGCGAAACATACTCGATATGTCCATTGAATATATATTTGAAATTTGGTAGATATTTTATTAGTATAGGTATAATTTTATAATATAAGATTACGAATATATTCCGTTTATCTAACTAACACCCACTTTTGAAAAAAACATGTGGCCATTAGTAAAAAAAAGAATAAATTTATATATATAGTAATACCAATTTATATTGTAATATTCCTTTGTTAACTAAAAAAGTTTTGGTTACAATAAAAACTCTTTTGTTTGTATCATAAGATGGGTTAATCTTTTATTAAGTTAGTTGACTAAGAACTTAAGCACGCCTTAAATTAATTGGATTGTAAGCCATTAGTTTATTAAATTTTATTTGATAACGTACAAAATGTAACTAAATGAACTTTTGTAAACCATTATGAAATATCATCAGCACTTTACAATAAAAAGACAATATAATGTGTTGAAGTCATTAGGTATGTATTTAAACATTTATGCAAAAATGGCTGTTAGAGGTCAGGTCAGTAACAACGCTTGTTTATAAAATCATTAACACATTCCAAAATACAAAACATCCGATTGTGTAAGACTTATGCATATATACTGTGCGCTATGTTTAAAACGTTAGTTTATAATTTTACTAGACTTATTGTAAAATGATACTTAACGACCTCTTTTACTGAATTCTTTGGCTATTAAAACTTTTTAATAAATTATTTTCACATAACTGACGGGGACTTAGTAATAATTTAAAATTTAGTTTTATACATCATAATAATATATAGTTTTAGCTTATTAGTATCTCGCTTAGCAAGTACTGGCTTATCTAGGTTCGACGATGAGGATTCACTTAGAAAGTATAAGTGAATCCTCATCACTGAAATATGCACTGACTTAGATATTACAGCTGCTGATAAAATGCAATTTTCATACCGTCAAAGGTAAAGAAAAAACCGAGATAGGATTAAACGCAATACTGCAGTGTAATTTTATCAGTTACTCTGAATGTAAGAGGCTTTTGATCGCAGTCTCGTCTATTGTTCGAATTGTCAATTGTGCGTTCGATTGAAAGGCTGAGAGCGTAACATTTAGAAAGCGCAAATTGATTCAGCTGGTGGCTTAATCAACTAGACAGTCGTAAATACTCGGTAAGCTACGTACTTAGGAACTATTGTGCTATGATCTTGAGTACCATGGTCTTCGAGTTTGAACCTTTGGTGGTACCTGATATAGTTAAGAAAAAAGTGAAATTTTCGTTAAATGCGTTAGTATATTACTGACAGGTACTATAGTTTAGTATCGTAGAAGACTAACAAATAATACAGCACTTATTACGAAAAGATTGTGTTGATAATAAAACAATTGAATTAGGATTCTATTACGGTATGCTCGGTACCTCGTTTTGTTTGTGAGAACTCGGGGTCTTTATTAACATGTGATAATAAAAGGCTTTATACTCGAGCCTTTAAATTTACTAAATAAAGGGATACATTTTATACTTATGTTAGAGACATAGACAAACGTATTTATAGTAATTACGTATACAGAATATGAGAGTTTGTTTTTATTTGTTTTAGTTATAAAAAGAATGATATCTTTTGCAACAGCTTAACTCTACTTGTATAATAATTACTGTGGGTGTTTAGCGTTACGTCGACTCATTAGCAATCATAAAATTGTTTTAATTTGTTAAATTTCTTATCTCATACTTGAATTGTCTATTTTTTCGGCTAAAATAATTCCGTTCCCAAGAGTTCTTGGTCTAATTAACCACCGGCTGTAACGTGTTGAGTTACGCAAAGCCATTTAATATGTTTATGGTTACATAAGTATGCCACGATAGTTCAATGGATGTAGCCTTCGAAATATACGGCCTCTAGTTCAATTCCTGCTCATACTATTCTCAATTATATTTTTGTATCATCATCATCAGCTCGCTATACCTCCCCATCGAGGGGCTCGGAGCCTACCCTAAGGGGTGACTAGGCCATAGTCACCACGCTGACCAATTGCGTGTTGGTTGACTTCACACATATCTTTGAATTTCTTCTCAGTTATGTGCATGTTGCATCACGATGTTTTCCTTCACGGTAAAAACGTCGAATGAATGTACATTTGTAAATCGGAAATCGAAAAACACATTGGTACACGGCGGGATTCGAACCCAGGACCTGCAGATTGCGAGTCAAGTGCTTTACCTCTGAGCCACCGACGCTCTATACTTTTTTGTATAACAATAAATAATCAGTAAAACACAAAACTATTTTGTATTAATACATGGATTTTTCAAAAAAATAAAATGAAACTGAGTTTTATTATGATAAATGTATTGAATTAAGATTTAATTTTAAAAAGTAGAAAAATTTTATTAGGTAAATCAATCACAAAGCTAGTTTCAGTAATGAATCCGAACTACGTTTGCAATAAATACCAAAGTGGAACGTTGGAAGGTATGCTCGCATCCACGTCGACTAATCTACGGATCCCCTTTCATCTCATGTCGAATGATGCTACACGAATCAATTTCTGTTCCAAAGTTAAATGTTACTTTTGGATTAAATTCAATTCCAGACTTTTTTCAGATTAAACTTATTTACTTCTTTAATGTAATTAGACCTCAAGACTCGATTTTAATCTTATATTATTAAATGGATTAGTAAGATCCAGACATAAAGAGACAGAAAATCTCGAAAGCGTCTCATCTTTCGATCAGCACTCAACTAAGGTCAGCCACAATGTTATTTATTACTATCTGTCGCCCGGGATTTAAATTTTTTTATAATGTTTTATTCTAGTCAAAATATGAGGGCAACTAACAACTAAAACTAAATGTCTTATCATAAATATAGATAATTAAACATCAACAGGTACATACTGAAGTGTATAAAATTCCGTTATAGCATTTATTTACATTAACTGATATTTCCACATAAATAAACATTATAGAATAATCTGGTAAATGTTTCGAAAGGAAATATAATAGTTTTGTACTTGTATTTAGTGTAGTGGCAATGTAATAAACAGAGCGTATAAAAACCAGATATACAAAACTAGTATAGGCCAGTAATCAAAATCAAATCAATATTCTACGTTACTTTTAAAACTCAATAATGCTAAGTATAATAAATAAGTAAAGTATATTTATTGCTCAAAGCAGAAGACGGTTTAAGATGTCATTTATCGTTGTCATTTTCTAAAACAGAATCAATTAAAAACAAATAAAAATCGATAAACTAATTTAGAATAATTTTCACAAAGATCCAATGTAAGTTAATTTTTTTATCATTTTAATTTTTTCTCAGTGAAATATAGTTACAGAAAAGTGTACGACTAGTGACTTGAGATAGTGGTAGGGGATATCATTAACCCGCTTACATCGTCATCGTGCGAGCTGCTGTGCGCGAGTCCGCTAGAGAGTATGTGAACACCGCTGACATAGTTTAAACTTTCTTTATTAACTCATTGAAACTTAGCCGATGAGATTTTTTATATAAAATAATTTACTGAAAGAAAACACATTACACGCAATGCCATTGATTATAGTAATAAACTAGTGGTCCCTACCATTGTCACAAAAGTGGACATATATATATTTTTTTAATTTTATGACAATTAATATAGCCTATATTTCTCAGGGATAATATAGTTTATGGTCATGATGTATGTACTTAGTATAAGATACAATAATAATTTAACAAGTCAATGTACTTAATAGAATCGCTTTGTACATCGTAAAACGTTAAATTTATAATGTTAACAAACAATTTTCTCGTGTGAAGCATCAATGGTGGCGTTTCGACACAGCTCTCGTTTCGGGCCTATAAAAATAGTCGAATAACAACAGAAGTACCAATGACGTTCCTCATTCGCGCTAAATTCTACGTAACTGTGTTCTTGAATTTCGTAACTATGAGTCATAATGTATAAAAGAACCTTTGAGACAATGAATCGTTATTACGAATCCCAATTATTTACTAAAGTTCCAGTTGTGTTATTTCTAGAAATAAAATAAATTCATATCATATTTTATAATAAAATTGAATTTTTTATAAAATAATATATAATATATAAATAAATGAAAAGCAATTGCAAGAAACGTTGTTTTATTTATAATGGCCAACGTTTATACTCTTGGAATGTAAGTAGTATTTGGTTCTAGGAACTTGGCACGGCGGTGCTTGAATTTTTCGGATGATTCGTTCCGAATAACACAAATATAAGAGAGTTATCTTTTAATTTTAAAATTCATTTAAAAAAAATGTTTATTTTATCTTTGATAATTGTGTACAAAATTGTTGGTATTGTGTAAGAATTTATAAAGGTTTTTTTTACTTTACCTGGTAAATCGTCTCTTTGATAGTTTGCAATAATTTGACGAAGATAGAAACTATTTCAGTAATGTGCATCGTTCTAACTTCGATCATCGTCGTTATTATGTACAGTAACATAGTTGAAGTCTTTGATGTAAGCTTGTGATCGGTATTTCAGTTAGTTTATCGCCTTGCAGGATTTAGAGCATATCGTTTGAATTTCTATAACTTTCAAAGATTCCCTTTACGGATTCTAGTTGAATTTCTCGAATATACTTGCTCGAGTGTAATCGGAAAATCATAGAACGATTTTAGCTATGTAACAAGGTCGACTTATAACATTTTAAAAAGAGAACTAAACAACTTTGTTTAAAAAACAAATAGTAATTCCTATTAGTAATATTTAATTCTATCAGTATAAATTTTATTTCTAACTGTGGGTTTGTGAGATGGAAATTTTCATTTAAAACATTTTAACTATGTTTTATGAAAGATAATGTCGGGAATGAAAATATGTTTTATACAGAGATTTTGGTCTCAGAAACCAACGGTAATTGTTTTTCTGAACTTCAGATTGCATCGCATTTGAGTTCATGCGGAACACCTGTACAAATTGATTTCGAGCTCTCGCAAATCGTCGGTATCGAAGCGCCATTAATATTGTTGGTGTATATATTCTGTCTATTTCACTACATTATAATATTTTACTTTAGTATTTTGCGATTTTATATCTTATACTAAAATAATTTTTCATATGTTACATAACATATTATTTACCAATGTGCCAGTTTTCTAAAGATAAACATCTCTTTATATCATAGAACATTCCCAAATGTATGGGACAATCGCATTTGCTCATCATATCAACTTTACATTTTTTCATAGTTTGTGATTCATTTTCTTATTAGTGCCATTAACCTAGGACCTACTAACTTCCTATATAGAATACGTGTTAAAACCTCGTTAAAAATCTTTTAATAAGTTTTATGAAACACTAATATAAGACTTATTAATTAGTTAAATATTATTTATTATCAGTAACAGCGAATTAAGCTTACCTATTGTTCCTGGGAACCAGGCGCAGAGTGGGTTCCTTTGAAGATCTGTACTGCTGTTGCCTACACGTATTTCTAGGTCCTGAAGTGGCTGATGACCTGAAAGCAAATTTACTAATTAATTATATCAATATTAATAACCTAAAAAAAATTCGTTGCTGATTTTGACAAAAAAAAATACGTTTAATGAAACTTAACCTTGTATTTGACCGAGATAAATATTTCGACATTGTTTTACTAAATCTGTACATTTTTTTGCTTATGGACTATACATAAGTGCGCTACTTTTACAAGAACTTATTTCATGAAGCGTTTTTAAAGGTTACAAAAATTAAATATTTTTATAAAATGAAATCTTTGAAACTTCAAAAATCTTCGCTTAACTTGAAAGAAATATGTCGGAATATTCAGTCACCAAGTACTTGAATTTTAATAAAATAAACATTTCCCGTAAGTCTCTCAAATATTTCATTTTGCAAGCAACCAACAGGGACGCCCGCCCCGCACAGCATCCGAACGCCGGACGTGTCTCCGTTAGTAAAATGAATTCTGTCAAAGCAGAACATCTTCTTTCAAGACCTTCGTATAACGTCTTCGCAGAGCTTCGCGTTGGTTCACTTTGTAAAATATTAAGCAAACTTGATTACCTATTTCGACATTGCAATTTCGTGTTCAAAGAGCAGCTGGATTTTAGAAAGCAACAAAGTGTAATAACGTGCAATAAAGTCGGCTTATATTTGCGATAGTAACACTTCAATAAAAATATCTACTGACATATTATTGTTACATTAAATAATTACATTTAAATTCCAGAATAGATTACGGGGACAGTAGTTTTTTTTAATATATTTTGTACTTGGAACTTCTCTGTTTTAAAATTACCTTTATAAAACGTAGAATTTTAAATAGTAACTGCTAGAAATAATAACGCGCCTTGTAATGTAGTCGTCACGTTTTTGTGTTTTCCGCCTTGCACTGTTGTCGTGGTCAGTGTGAAAGTGTCATAATAAAGTGATTGGTTTTGCAACACACGATACCTGCACATGATGTGTACGGTCAGCCGTGTTGCGAGTTTGCGACACCACATTGCCCCCTCGACTGGAACGAATCACGCTTGCATGTGCGACATCGCATTTATTTTGTATAAAAACTATTATTGTGAATCACTCACGAGGTTAATGTCTTATGTTATTAACCAAGAACGTACGTTGACGCTTTGAGCATCGCAATCATACGCAATCGATCAACCTAAGTATTTTTTATTTTATTTATTAAAGACGACTTACAACTAACTTTAAAATATAATTAAAATCTAACAGCTAAATAATAAAACTAAAGGCTAATTGAAAGTAGCTATAGATAGTTAGAAATACAGATTATATTGAAATCTACTCCCTTTTTTTTTAAATTACACAATATATAGATGAGAAGGGATTTAAAGGAGCTCCAAGTCCAGAGCTGGGTGGAAGTGGCGTAAGCCCTCAAAGTCTCTTGACGAGTCACTTTAGGTCATAAAACAACATTTATGTAATGTTTAGATACCTTTAATAAATTATGGTAGAGCATATGTCGTCTATCTATATATGATACTAATTTATTTAAGGAATATTACGTTACTTTGCCTTTATCTTGTTATTAAAGTATTTTAAATATGCAAGAGTAATTCGCTATGCTAGTCTTATTTTCTCCGTATTTTTAACTTTTCCAGTTCCTGCAAGAAACAAGTCTTTGAAGTGGAGTCAGTCTTCACTTCAATACCGTACTTATAAACATTTGATGCGATTCCCGGAGCTCGATATTTATTCGAAGTGTTAAGTATCTCGTCATAAAACTTAGATATTTTCTTCTGCGCTGAGTCGTCAGGGTGGTAATAAAACTAAGCTTAATATAACTTTAAAATATAACAGATCTGCTCTTTGAATACGTTTTTTTAAAACTGTACCATTTTATTACCAATGCGACAAACGATATCATAACCAAAATACAACCAAATTTTATTTATTGCACGATAAGATAAAAGAGGCTGTGTAGTAATGGCTCCAAGAATATTAGCAGCAACAGGATAACATAACATTCATAGCACCCATAGAGGCTGCAATTATGGATTTGAATTTTGCGCGCGCCTTGCATACCTCTCTGTACGCCGTGGATACCTAATTGTATAAATACCATCTGTATTTATATTATACAACTAGGTATCCATGCATTGTTGGTTACAGGCTTCTAATACCGCCTCTCCGCCTCTTTATAACCTCAAATAAATGAAACTTACCACAACATCCTCTGGTTGTGACTCTGACCACTTTGACAGCGTAATGACGAAGCAGGTCGACTTGCCACCATGGCGAGGCCTCGCGCTGCGTCTCCGTGCATCTCTTGCCGTCATGTTCTGTAGTCTTCTCACCATCGTTGCCGTTGGCCGCCGCACCTCCACGGACGGTTGTCGATTGGTTTGCTGGTTTTCTGAAGGCGACGTTCGTACCTGGATAATAAATAAATTACAATATGCTGTATTGTTATCGATTTGTTGAATAATTTACAAGTAAGAAGAAGTACAGATGGCTCATAATTCAGTTTCCTTTTTGACTAAAATATAAGATTTTGGTGTGGTTTTATTTTTGAGATTTTTTATTTTCATACGAGAATTCAATATTTGCTATATAGCACCGTATTCGAATAAGTTTTGACATTTAACTAATATTATAAACGCGAATGTTTGCAGGGATGGATGGATGTTTGTGACTAGGCATCTCCAGAACGGCTGCATGGATCTTTCTGAAGTTTGGCATGGATGTAGAACCTACTCTGGAAGAACGCCCGGACGGAGTCGCGGGTGGACAGTTAGTCTGTAAATATTTTATCTGTATGATGTAGGAGATAATAATTATTTGTAATATCAAGAAATAATTTTACAACGCTTTATTTCATTATGGACGTTAAGTTATTATTTCTGTTAATATTAAATTAATTACTGAAAGCTTAATATCAATTACATACTTTCATCAACAAATGCCAATCCAAATGAAAGCAAATTAAATTAAATGTAGACAGCCCTTTTAAATAATTATTAATCTTATATTCGCAATGTTTTGAGAAATATTTGTTAAACTCGTTTGTTTATTAATTAAATATTTCATTTTACAGATAGTTATTTGATCTATTTAAGGGTCGCTGTACACGAACAGCTTCAGTAGATAGCGTATTACAGCACCACAATAATAGCTTGCGGGCTGTTGCCGTCGATATATTGATGTTTGTGTACGACGGCCCTAAGTATTATATTGTATTAAAAAGTAATTTACGAAAGACACTTACCACAAAATGGCGGTTCAGCAGTCCAATCGCCTCTCAATGTGCACTCCCTCTGGTGAGCTCCAAACAGCTCGTAACCATCGTCACATTCGTAGGTAGCAACAGTTCCAGGAGTGATAGCTGTGTCATTGGGTAATGTTACCCGTGCGTTCGGCGGTACTGCCGGGTGGCCGCAATGGCGTTCGCCTGTAACAAATATTAATTTAATACCCAACAATCAAATTATTCATATATGTGATAAGTTGTCGCTCGCGACTCTATTCGCGGGGAATTTTAATTCGGCAAAAAACTTAATAACTCCATCCATCCAAACTTTAAACTTTTTATAATAGTAACAATCAATTCTCTAAGTGAATGTTAGAATTATTCTATATTATATTTATTCTGTTGGCTTGCCTTAATAAATAAATAAGTAAATTCTTTAAATTAACCTTCTAAGTTGCCTTTATTGAATAGTGATTACATTCGTTAGTGTATATTGGCAATCGTTGTTTTTCAGCGAGGATGTACGATGAACCGAAGTGCTTTGTAATTAATTAAAATCGAATTGCGTTTAAACGATATAAATCTTTTATCGTGCGATTGACAGAGCCATTGCGCATGCTAATGGCTGTACAATATTGTAATATCTGTAACGCGTGTCGGCTGTTGCGCGGAATACGGTTAAAGAAAGCGCACTTATGTAACGCACTTTAGCGATACATGTAACGATATGTGCCGCAACGACGCCGATGCAATTCCACTTCCGATGTTTTATGCATGCGTGTTATTTGGTCATTATACTATTTAGTAGAAAGTAATGTTGAGATCAGATTATACATAGCAAGCACGAATTATGTTGGATTTACAACGACTAAACTCTCATAAGAAGACGCATCAGTCGTTATAATGTGAACCAATGTTTTTTCTTATGACTTTTATTTGATCACTCAATCAGTAGCGCTTTACTAACTTTAATAGTCGTAAGATATTTACAACATTAATTAAAAGCCAGTTTAATATTTAGATGGATGGATGTTTGTGAACTATCTCCAGAACCTCTGCAACTTTAGTTTAAATAGTTTAGCAAGAAAAGGCTCACAGTAGATTAAGATTAAGTTAAGATACTGTTTTTCTTTAATTTTATTTAAAACTCATACTTACCTTAAAAGTCGTAAGTATGAAAGTGGAAATAATTGATGAGAAATTTAGATAATCCATTAGAAATGTTTTAAAACTTTTTTTTGCAAATACCAAAGAAAGTCAGTGGATTGAATTTCGAAGTGACTGATGAGAAATATTTTTAAATCCGATTGAATTATTATCAGGGGAAATTTTACTTTTTATACCTTACCGTACCCTTATCTTATATATAAAATTCTCGTGTCACAATTTTCGTTCCCATACTCCTCCGAAACGGCTTGACCGATTCTCACGAAATTTTGTGAGCATTTTGAGTAGGTCTGAGAATAGGCCAACATCTATTTTTAAATCCGCGCGGACGGAGTCGCGTGTGACAGCTAGTAATGTATAAATGTAAGTTTAATCAGAATTAATTTATTTAATATATTAGCTGCATACTAATTTAACGACATTAATTTAGATTTTCCTTTCCAATAAATATTTGATGCCCTTGTCAAATATGAGCGAGCGCCTGTCAGTTTCCCAAAATTAATTTGCTATAAACAGCATATGATTTGAGAGGTTAGAACGATTTTGTCCCGTTTCTATATTTTTTTAATTTCCTTTGATTATTATTAAATGGAAATGAAAGATTTTATATCTTCTTGCTGGTCATTCAGCAAGTCTAGTAGAATTATGTTTTATTTTATTCTTATGGTTTCTTTCTTTACTTGTGTTTTTTATCTACTTTTCATATGAATACAAATTTTCTGGCTGAGAAACAATTGTGGGAAAGACACAAGTTACGAAGTATATAAAATGTTGGTTTGCACAAACACATCTGGGCATTGGCCACATTGCCCATATCACCGCGGGCAATTTATATGTTGAAATGTAGCTCCGAGCAAGCACTGTTTACGGCATTTGGATGTGAAGGACAGCGTGGCATTTTGCTCGAATTATTCAGTCGGACGTTAGGAAATATAACCAAAGTTTGTTGCGCCTGATTTTGCAACGAAAATTATTCTAAGCTTTATTTATAAGGATTTTTATAACGTTTATAAATGTACTAATATTACCCGATTTCTTACGTTCGGACATACTTCAAATTGTAAAGGCGAAAGAGTGCTATAAAACTTTTCATTCTAATACAATAATTAATAGTTCGAATAGTTTTAGAATAAGACTAACGGCCATCCGCGACGTCGTCAATGCAGATTAAAAAAAGTATCCCGCGTGCATCAGCCACCTTTCCGTCCAAATGACGAAAAATCGCGGCCTTGCGGACAAACACAGACAGAAAAGAAATTAAAAAAATTGTTTTACGTTATCAAGTATGCAAATACGTCATAAGTTCGAAATACTTTTTTTTTCAATGCTACATACAGACACTCAAATGTTATTCATACGTATAGATTAATTTAATACGCACCGAGATATGAGGCTTAGAGGCTATCGATTAATTAATGTTAGGCGCTAACACTAATTAATACTGTAATTGCAATTGGTAATTCTCTAAAGCAGCTAAGCAGTATTAGTCTTAATGCAACGTTAATGAAACCAAGATAATACGATAAAATTAAAACTAAATTAAAATTAAATTTAATCAGACACATTTATATTAAAAATAGCAAAAATAAATCGTATTTAATGTACAACCAATAAATACAAAAAAAATTTAAATATACGTAATTAATATTTTACTTAAATATTAGGGACGCCATATGCGGACCGCTTCAAGCCGGTATACCGAAGTACCGACAGATTCAAGCCGTCGGTGTATGCCTTTATTCATTTCAGCAAAGGTTGCAAACCGCAGACCATGAATGGCGAACGTCAACGACAAATTGTCCAACGCCGACTTTGCAGCTGCCCGTATATGACAGCGCTAACGCGCTTTAATCGTTGCCACAAAATTGAATTGAATTTAAAGAGTCGATTTACATTTTATTTTGTACGTAAATTAAGTTGAAAAGGTTTGCCTTATACAAAACCAGTGCATACGCTATGAAAGGTTATCAACTTTCAACTCCTACTATTCGAGGAGATCGGCTTCTGTAGATTTAAGACATCTTAAGATATCCTTTTTTTGCAATCTCCATACAACACCATCTAAGTAGTACTGTAAAATTGCCAATTTTATAACAGATAGACGTTTTTGTTTTTTTTAATCATGGTAAAAATTATTTTTGGGAATATTTATTCCCTATTCATCTTATGAGCTATTATTATAATTTTATGAACAAGACGCGTGCTCATTAGGATAGATTGTTAAGGGTTGTTTGCTCGACTGTTAAAATGTGATCGTAGACTTTATACATACGAATAAATACTATTTGGTTTCACATTCATGAAACTAGACACTATTTGTAATTTGAATAGCGTATTGAACATACGTAATTTAATTTCACAATATAGTCAGTACTAATCTGTAGTACCAACCACGGCCAAATTCAAACCGATTACGTGTTCGTGTTTCATTTGGAATACAGACATTGATGTGGACGCAACAACGTCAACTTAACATTCGGCACATATCTTGACGAAGCCTTCGTTCGAAGACCGATTGTCCGACTTAGATTTCAAGACCCTATTTCGAAGAAGAAAGACGCGCATTAGCCATTGCCGAAAACTATAATAATGCATTAACTACAAGTTTACAGAGCCGAAAACAGACGAAAAATCCTTAAAAATAGATTGGATGCTGAAATGTTCAATGCGTCAGTACAGTACAACAAGCAAAGCCATGTCGATAACAGCATTTCGCTTTGTGTACGTTATAACGTGAAGTCACGTCAACCGTGTTACGGCAAACGTCAAGCTGACGGCTTGTGAGCTTTGATATTTGCAGTTAAACGATGTAATGTTTTGCTAGGTTAGAGAATCAATAAGCAAAATTCAAGTCTTCGTTTCAATAATCTCGTAACCCATTGAACAAAATTAATAACTTCTACGAGACCGCATAATCGTAATGAAAATGTTGTGTTTGGAGTCTTTATTGCTAAGTATAAAATATTGCTAAATGTCTCCTGAACTAACATTGATCTCATACTTACTTGTTAATGTCGAAAGAAGAACATTGAAATTATATTCAAAGTGAAAATTCAATACTATTTTTTATGATTATCACAACCTTATTTTTTACAGATATATTAAAGAGTATAATATTCCTAAATTTGCTGAGACCTTAGAGTATACAAAGGTTAAGTTCGTATTGAAAGATTAGAAGATGCTATAAAACTAATTTCTTATTTGAATTGATGATGCATTGTTGAATAAATTGAATCAAAGATTATTTGAAATCATTCATTCGTAATAAAAGTTATTTCTCGATAAGGCTTCAATTTATTCTACAATATAATATTAAGATATCAATAAAAATTGGTTACAGTACACACAGATTATTCTAGAATATAAATTATTATTATAAAGAAAAAGAATTTTTATTTTTGTATGTAACGAATAAACTCAAAAACTACTGGACCGATTTCAAAAATTCTTTTGCTATTATAGAGCTACATTATCATTGAGTAACATAGGCTACATCTTTAACAAAAAATTATATTTTTAAAATTCCGGGTGAACGAACTCGATGATAGAAGCTCTAGAATGAAAGTAGGTATAAATTTTTACTGGATTCTTCCTATCTATTTTATAATCTTAAGATTTTAAAAATCATTCTCCTTTAAATAATCTTTGTCTGCCTGACTCTCGTCAACTTCAAAAAAAGTGTTATATTTTTATATCGTATTATTACCAAATTTATTTTACTCAAATTCACTGAAATCATTCTACGCGAGCGCACTAATTGCGTGCCAATCATAGGCCTTTTAAAGCTAAATTTTTTTGTTAAATATTTTAATAATATTAAAAAAAAATAGTTATTTTTTAATTTTAAATTTTCTTTTTCTTACAAAGTTGTCAAAATGCCAAAAACATGAATATATGGACAAATTACTATTGCGTTGTAAGAGTTTTTGTATTACAAAAGCATTTTAATTTAATCGTAAATATGAGTATGTTTTTTGTATAATGGTTATTTATTGTAAGTTGGTCTGATGGTTAACAGAAGCAGGTCGATAAAG